ACCTACACATATAATTATGAGCAGCGTAACGAGCTGAATCGATTTAGACATATGACTGCCTGTATATACGCGAACTAGTCTTTTAGTTGTTGAGATATCGAGCTGAAATTTTCCACATGCCATTTTCTCTCCAAGAAACTGCTCATTTGCGGGAACCGCCAAGCTCGGGCCACTATCGAATATAGCTGCCATACAAACCCATCAATTAAATTAAAGTTCTTGTATGGTAAATATTATATTTGACAAGATATCTTTACGAAATTTGACATGAATTATTAAGCAAACAACGCTATAATCTATACCTAGGATATGGCTGACATACAAAACGACCGATCAATTTAAGATAAAAATCCCCATAGAAGACCTTTTTTCCTTATTGCGTAACCTTAATTGGCCGTTAAGGTTGTTTTCACTTTTAGTTATATATATGCTATAATATAAGAAATACACCTGTTAAGGGTACTAAAGTTTCGATGTAGCCGAAGATAATATACAATACATACAATACAAATTAATATACATATCTCACTTATTTACCGATATATACATCGGTTAATCGTATTAAGATCATATCTGGTATACCGGAAAGAAGGAAAGGTATACAATGATTTCGATCATTTTGGAGTTGCCACATATCAGAAGAACTATTAGTGTTATTTTTCAGTTCGATTGTATTTGTTGGTGTTTGAACTATCTATTGCAATGACAAATAATGGAATTCAATAATACTTTATTATGTTGGCAAAGTTCGAAGATTTGATTTCATTCTCGTTGGCAACGATTAAAGAGTTCGCATGTTATGATACTTCAATAAATGGTCCACATGTAAACCCAAACTTTCCCTATCTAATTTTTAGTGATTTTATTCATAACATTATGTGGAAGAATACACACCAAATTTGAATTTTGAAACGCAACTGTTGACATGAAATGAAAAGTTTTTTCTAAAGCGACGACTCTAGTCAGGTACTGATAAAATTTCGAAAGTCATTTCAGCTATCAATAAGCTTATCTTAAAATCCATTAGCCGTTCGGAAACAGTTTAAAATTTATAGGCCTCCCAATCTCCAAGCACACAAAATAAAATAAAAAAGAAACACAGCTAATCACTTTCTATTTAATTCAAAGTCTGGAGATTAATTGCTTTGCTTGTTTGAGAATTGTGCTAGGTTACCATACTAATAAAGGATAGTTGTTTGTCCAAAAATTCTAATAAATAAAATGAAATACTTATGTTAATGTTTGTCTATCCACGAATCTATTACGTCATAGAAAACCGCCGATACCAACTATTTACGACTCCAGTCACTTTTTTAATGCAATAAGAAGTCTTTGAAGCCAGTTCCATCAAAAGTTGTGGACAACATGTGTGTTCTCGTTTTCGTGACGAAGTCAATACATGCTTTCAATCCTAACATTTTTGTATTTCATTAATATACTTACTTTAAATAAACGAAATTAAATATAATATTTGATGACAAAAAAAAATAGCCTTTTCCTTCGAACAAACATTCAAATTAAATTAACCTTCTTGAATAAACCTGTAAACGTTCTGATTTTTATTTTCACCGCCCTCGCAACTCATGACTATACACACACATACACATGTACATACATACATACATACATGTATAAACATAGTATATATTTCATATTGTTTTATGAAACTTTATACCCCAAAGCGAAGGGTGTCAAGCAAGTCAAACAATATCGTAAGCGAGGCGATCTTCAAGTGTAATCAGCTGCTTTCAATGCAACCCCCTAACGGTAATCAAAGCACGCTGAGTATTTGCGCAGCAAGTGCAATCGCACTGATGACTCCATGACATCGGCGCATGGACACGCATCCGGATGTCTATAAATGCCAAAGTGTCTGTATGTCTATAATATATGTATATTTCTGTAGGCTTAAATGTAAAGGAGCTAATATACGTATGTATGTGTGGGAGTGCGGGCATTTGTGAATGGCGTATGTTTATTGTGTAATTGATACGCCACTCACGCGTACGAGAATGCCTCTAAAAGGCGGAAAACTCTTGCCCCTACGCTTTGCCGCTGCCGCACAATCCGTGCAACAACGCAATTCGTGCCCAGCAAACTGCTGCGATGGCTTGTTGTTATTGTTGCTCTGTCATAAATGTCGACTAAATTGAGTATTCACTTATTTATGAACTCAAAATACTCATATGTACATAAATACAGTTATGTTTGTGAGTATTGCATATTTGCCACACAATCTTTTACAGTTGCATGCCACTGTATTGAAAGGGCAAAGTATAAAGCGAAAATGTTGGGAGGGGGAAGTACTTGTGGTTTGAAATCAAAATAATAAAAACAACAACTCTGTTGTTATTGCAACTTGTTACTCCCTACCCTAACGTGTTGCAATGCCACAAACGCTCTGTTGTGCTCCACCATTAGCCACCAGTCCACACACGCATATCAGCTAAATTGTTAAATAAAAGGTTTAAAAAAAAATCGAAAATGTTGCATCTTCTTGCCATCACAGAGGCCATCAGTGGCGTTGCTGCTGTTATTCAGTTGCCTTTCATATTTCGAAAATTGATCGTTGCTTTTGATAAAAATTAATTTATATTGCCATACTCATATCCGCTACTGTGGCCGCGCCTCCCCCGCTCTTAGTGTCTGGCTCACGTAAGTCAGTGTGTCTGTCCGCCTGTCTTCTTTATGCTTGTGCTCGTATGTGACCGCTAATGGATCGATAGACTGGCAAACTGTTCGGAATCACATAACAGACCTCCAGTTCAATATGCCAAATCGGTTTAAATCATCCGTGTGCTGTTTTCAAACTACCAGAACATTACGAGTTCAAATTTTAATGTACTGGAATATACATATGCACATGTATGTAAATTTGTATGTAGATTATATTTATTTGACGGTGCGTGCTCTTACTCATCGACTCAGTGTCCATTTCATCATCTAATTGTAGTTACCTGCAATTTTTATTTATTTTTTTTTCAAAATGGTTGCTTATGTACTCGTCTTAACGTTATGGCGTTGGATTAAACACATATTTTATTTAATTACTAATACATACGTATGTACGTGACGAATCCATAATAATGCTTTTTCTGCTTAAATATTAAGCTCGAAGTTTATTTTTCAGAGAAAAGCAGCTCCAGAAATAATATTACGAAATCAGAACAACTCATAACAAAGTTTATATTAAAAACCCAAGCAATTTTGGATTCTATAAATGATGTGCGTCTTGAGTAGGAAATCCGGAAATTTTTTTGAATAATTCGGCTACCAAAAAGCCACGCGCCAAATTTAATTATATATTTAACCAATTTATTAAGCTATAGCTTAAGTATCCGATATCAAATTGATTTTAAAATAGGATATCGGCCTTTTCTTTTGTTAGCTAGTGTCAAAAAGAATGCTCAACTGGGATAAATATTTCTTAAAGGTATATAATAAGATTGACAAAGTCTCAGCAACCAAACTTTTGCTCTAAATTTAGAGTTTATTTACACTTTCATGTAAGATTAGAATACTTTTCATCTTTTTAACCAACATCGCTGAACTCGGTATATATAGCCGAGTTTGTTGTATTGTATATTATTATTTTAGCCAGTATTATATAGCCACTGGTTTCGAAGACAACCGAAATATAGCACAATTCGATGTAAAAGCTTAAATATTGTTTTATTTTTCATCGCTAAGCATTATAGGGCACCTCACTTGTTGTTATTAGTGTCCATGTTTTAGCTATATTAAAGAGGCTTGGTTAAATTCATGGTGAAGCTTTACTCCTCGGCTGCCTTCAGTGCTTTTTTATATATAGGATATTAACACTAGAACTGCGAAGATTTACCACATACCTATTCCAAATAGGTCTCTCTCTCTCTGGAAATTAGAAGCGCAAGAACAAAATAATCTTTAATATTATTCTACACACAAATTTAATAAAAATCATGACATTATCCTAAAATATTAAATAAGGAATAAAGAGGAAATGGTATAAATAAATAATAAACAACCGGTTCGTAGTTCTAGTGTTAAAAACAGCCTCAAGTTTTTGATTGGCAACAAGACAAACGGTAATAAGCCTACATCAAAAACATTGGGAAGGTCCTCCATCTTGGATACAAAGAAACATTTAATTATAAAATCAGTATACTTATGATTTTTCTATCTATACTCGGTCGGCTCTGCATGACATCACCAATCAATATATAAAATCGCTTCAAGAAAGCTGCGATCTTAAATCGTTTAAAAGGGTATGAACGTGCAGATAACTGTACTTAAAATTCCGAAGTTAAAAGTTAAAACAAAAAGTTGCGGTTTTTAATAAAAATTAATATTAATTAGATCACACGGTACTTGCCCAAAATGAAGATCACGCAAAGTGTCTAACCTTGGGCATCATCCACTACATCCAACCAACCGATCTCCTCTATTTGGGTTCTCTAAAGTGATTTTACTCGCAAATTATTTATTTTGCAGCCAAGTAATCTATACACGCCTATTTTTACCGTGAACAGTGTATACGTATTACTATACGTAATGAGAGAAAGTTTGTAACATATTGTACAAAAGGAAACGTTGGAGCCTATACGCAGGCGTGGCGAGCGTAATCTATTTGCCATGTCCGTCTGTTCGTCTTTCCATGAGCATATACGAGCACTAGTTCCTCAGTTTTCGAGCTATCAATCTGAAATTTGACAACGTCATCGTATCGGATCTTTATATGAAATGGCTGTCATACACTCTGAATAATCAAAACCAATTTCTAGCATGGAAAACTTGTTATTTGTCGAACTACTATAGCATATAGCTGTCATACAAACTGACCGATGAAAATCAAGATTTTCATTTTTATACCCTTTATCCAATAAGAAATGCACCTGTAAAGGGTATAATAGCTCCTATCCAGCCGAAGTAAACGTTTTGTTCTTGTTTCCTAAATCGTCCTTTTATCATTGATAAAATGACTATTGTTTTCGATGTTGATCAAATAAAATATTTTCTTGATTTATTTAATGGCACTTTATTATTGTATGTTCTCGACCCAAGTCAATTATTGTCATTTTATTTACAACTCACTTATTTAACTATTAATATTAAAATACATTGTGCTCGGATATTCCGTTATCAATAGGCTTTTATGCTATTACAACTGTTAATTTCATTTAGTTCCGAAGGTACTTCGCGTAAACCGAATTTCCATAATTATTGCAAATTTTTTTAACGAAAAATCAAAACTTAATTGTAAAATATGAACTAAATAATTTAAATATACTTGCACTCAACGAACTGCATATGCTTATACGTACATTAATACCGCAAGTATGTATGTGTATGTGTTCGCAGTATCCACCTTGCTCTGCGTGTTATGAGTGATGCATCGCCTGCAGTGCCGTTTGCTGTGGATGTGTTTGATTGTGGCGATGCAGTTGACCCCACATAACGCCACCCGCCGCCATGACGCCCGTCGTGCTGCTGTCCGCTTTCAATTTCACGGAGATTGTGTCGCCGTCGATTTCACCGCGTTTCGACTTGTAACGGCGATTTTGGAACCAAATTTTTACCTGAGTCGGCGATAAGTTCAACTTGTGGGCGATGACTTCACGCTCCGCACCTGTTAGATACTTTTGCATACGGAAACGGCACTCCAACTCCAAAACTTGCGCCTGTGAGAAGAGCACGCGTGGTTTGCGCTTACAACGCGGTTTGCCATTCTTTCGAAGCTCTGAACGCGAAGAGGTGACTTGTGAGGTGTCTCCTGTAAAATAATATTAAGACAAAATTTAAAATTAAATATATACAAAGATGGAAAAATATCAAAATTTCTCATAGTATATAAAAATTTACATCAAGCAAACGATAAATTTTTTTTAGAAGTAAATATTAAAATTCGTAAAACTGTCGTAAAAAGTCATGACCGATCTAGAAAAGCATTGATATACTTTTGGATTTTAAAAGACAAATTTTCCTCATATCATACTTTGTATACCGTCAGGAATATTGTGCCGACTCCTGTCAAGGAATTTCTCAACTAAATTCAACATTTTTTGTCCAAACATGTAACTATGCAATTGGTCATTTTCTTTTCTATTTACTAATATTATGGCAATAATTAAAAAATGTTTAAGGGGTTATTCTAGTGTAAAGACATGAATTTTACGTAATTTTTAAAGCGTCGTAAAAAAAAAGCAATCATTATTTTTACCATCGGTTTTTTTATCACTTATTTATTAACGTTACAAGAGTACAGAAAAAAATTTAAAAATAAAAGTTAAAAATTTAAAAAACTGGCAGCTGATGAAGTGCACATGAGCATAAGCATGATTTTAACCCTCCTAGTCATCTGAAATTAACAAAGATTCTCAATCTGTAATGATGTCGCAATTGTATAAACTAGCGATAAGTAAAAAAGACTGTTTGGAAAAAAAACGATTTTTTTCCATTTATTTCATTTCCTCGTATTTTTTAAAAATAGTAAAAATTTAAATTTGGGGATGACGCTAGTTCATACTCGTGAGAGGTCTATAAAAAAGATTCTGTGAAAATTTCAAGTTAATCGGTCCAGTAGAAGCCTAAAAATCATTGAAAAAGTCTGGTCTGAGAAAAACGAATTTAAAGTTTCGCGTAAAGTCTTTTGTTCGATAAGACCCAGCCGAACCAGTTTAGAGGGCGGGTCAGTCAGTCTATATCTCCGAAAATAATTAAAATTTGGAAAAATCCTGTCTTAGACATATTCCTAAATAGTTAAGCTTTGAAAATATGAAAAAAAATGTGGAAAACGGTTGGCCTCAAGGGCCATCCCTGCAACTTCCCTCTAATTTCATACGCTAACGTTCAAATTTCGCTTTTTTCACTGCTTTTGAGCTCTTCGAAATTTTTCGTTTTCGATATCTAGCAAGTAAATCAACCGATTTCGACCCGGTTTGCGGCAAACGATGTGTTTCTTCAAGGTTTAGAACTGATTAGTTTTTGGTGTTGATCGGTCAAGTCGTTTGGAAGAAAGAAAAACGATTTTTCAAAATTTTTATTTTTGAGATTTCTCAAAATCTACTGGTCCGATTGGGTCCAAACGACACACGAAATTCAAGTGCAATGAAACCCTTTGGAATGCCGTTTAGTTTATTCAAATCGGTTGAGCCGTTTAAAAGTTATAAGAGGGTCACATACATCCACACACACACACATACATCCACACATACATACAGACATACGGACATCATCGTAGAAATGTTCGGGGAAGCTTCCTCGACCCTCAAAACGTCGAGATCTGTTGAGAACTCGATTTTTGCAAAATGGGGTGAAACCAATATCTTCCCGATTTTTAGAAAATTTTCAATTTTCTTAGCGGGAAGTTAAAAATTTTATTTTTTTGAAATTCTACACTAGAATAAGCCTTAAGAATAAACATGGCGAAGAACCACTTTCCCAAAATCAATATCCAAACAATTCTCCAAAGATGCATTTATTTTTTTTTTTAAGGTTCTTTACCTTCTAGCTATAACTACTACTGCAACCATTCAGTAACGTAGACTATAAGCCAAATAGCCACACGAATTTCGTTCAGAAAGATTTGAAAACCTTGCATATAGAATGAACCAAGTGATTTCGATAATCTACTATTCGTTAGACGTCCATATGAGTTTTCAATAACTACACAACTAACTAATTTCCAATTAATACAGATCTTTGAAAGAGCTATTATAAAGAAGTTTTTAGGTTATGCATAACGTAGAAAACAAATTAACTAGATTACAGGTAAAATTGACGTTTTTTTTTTAATTTTTAATTTTATTTTGGATACATTTAGAATTTGATCCACAAAAGCTCCTTTTATTATTTCAAAATGGTAGTAAATATGTATTTTGTTGCTTCATTATTTTCTTAATAAAAAAATATTTGCTTCAGAAAATTTTCAATTAATATACTCGTACCCAAAAAGAGCAGTATTTGTCATTATCGGAAGAATGCTTAGTTCGATAGTCATGAGTTTACGAATGTATAAAATATTTTAACTTAAAAACCTGAAAAACTTTAATTATGTTTTTTTTGCTTAGCCTGAGGGTAAAATTTGCAGATTATAAAAAAAGAAAATTATGGAAAAAAAATATTTTTGTACAACTAGAGTCGGCCCACTCTCTTTTAAAGTAAATTTCAGTTAAAAATTTTTTAAGAGTTTTTGATAATTGTTTTAGAAGCTGTGGAGAGTCCTCTTTCTGTCCAATTTAAAGTCATCAACTAAAAAAAACTTTTTGTGGTCATTATTGGAGTTTTAAAAAATGTCTTAAATAACAACATGCTTTCATTGCTCAAAAACCGTCAAATTCGGTAATTTGTATATAAATGTGAAGAGTTTAAACCAAAAACAATTCTTTTTTTGGCCAAAAAAAATTTTAACTCGATATTTATTCCTCTAGATAGCCTCTAGATGTTTAAAAAAAAAAATTTTTCCAAAAATTTTCTTTTTTTATGATCTACAAATTTTACCCTTAGGCTAAGCAAAAAAAATTGTTTTCGTTCCATGAGGGTGGTTCATCTTAATTTTCATCGATTATTTTGCATGGCAGCTATATCCTATAGTGGTCCAATATCGGCGCTTCCGAAACTTGAGCAGCGTCTTTGGGAGAAAAGGACCGTGCCATATCTCAAAAAGTGAGGAATTAGTTCTGGTATGTAAAGACAGACAAACGGACATGGCTAAATCGACTAATTTCGTCACGGTAATCAATTATATACATATGTATAAACTTGTCTGCAATGGTTCCTTCTGGGTGTTACAATCTTTCTGGTAAATTTAATATAACATGTTAAAGATATAATTAAAATAAGGATCAAGAACAGTTATTTAATCCTCTTAAAAATTCCTGCTCTTTCAAATGTAATTTTGGATTTCATAACAGAAATAATTATCTACATAAAATTCTACCACAAAAAATAGTTTAATGGTAATTTGGATGAATATCTATTTATGTTAAAAACCGAATCAAACTAAACTTACTGCGTTTAGAAACTCCACATTCGCCGCTGCTGCCGGTATTTCCCAAGATAGATTCGCTAGAAACCTGCACATTGTCGGAGACGCTTTTTTGTGTGCTCAAATGTCCATTCATATTGTGCAAGCCGCCTGCACCGCTATTGGCTAAATGCTGCTGCATTGAGGAACCGTTATTTGCGGTCTCCATTAAGTTCTGCAGAGATTGTTGCGACGCCACTGCGGACTTACCATGCCCACTACCTTTTGATGGCAACGCCGTTAATTTTGCTGTCATCGCCGATGCGGCCGTGTGTGGATCGCCCACCTCTGTCGAACTGTTGAGATCCAAGGTGGGCGACGGCGTCACATATGGTGTGGAAGTGTAGTCGCTTTTGCTGCTGGCGATTTCGAGGCTGCCAACGCCATTCGTGCCATTCGTACCGTTCACGCCACTCATACCGTAAGCATCGCTCGGGTGTTGATAGTTGTAACTGTAAGCTGTGGAATGTGCGGCTGGTACACCGTACGCGCCGGATGCGCTGGGCGAGGCGCTGCTGCTGCCTGCAGCACACATCGCATTGCCATTGGTCATTACAGGTGTTGCCGGTGTCGGCATATACCATTGCACAGCGCCATAATGTTGATGGTAAGGAGGAGGTACATGATGTGTGTGCGTGTGTGGGTGTGGATGCTGGGCATGATGACCGTGCGCATGCGAATGTGGGTGTAAGTGTGGTGGGTAAGCGGCGGCGGCAGCCGCAACTGCATGCGGAGTGGCGGCGTAATCACCGAAAGTCGCATGAGGATGAGGATGATGGTTGTGCAGAGGATACTGGTAGCCGGATGTTGTTGTTGCGCCGACCGCCGCCATTGTCGCCGGCGTCATGTTGGGCACTTGAAGTTGTGACATAACTGGAGTTTCCTGATAACTTTGCGTGTCGTAATCGTTGACGCAAGATGCGGGTGTCGAATCGCTATGCATGGGACTGTAAATAGTAAGGGAGAAGGAGAGAGAAGAGAACGCATGAGCAAAAAATTAAATGCGGAAATAAGCATTTAGTAAAAGGTTCCTCATGTCACCACCCCCCGTAGGCATAATTAATGAAATACATATGTGCGCATATTGACCGTTATTAGTGCGAGCACATACATATGTGAGCGCAGCAAGACATCGACGTAGTATGGCGACTAGTGAGCGGGCTAGAAATTTCGCAAATCCCGCTGATCTCTGCTTGGTGACAACGCTGAACACTGCTTTAAGTATGTGAACTAATGCCAAGCGGCACTACTAAAATGGAACGGCTTGGCACCGTCGGCCAGCCAGTGACCGGAACATACAGTGCACACATGACCATTTATATATTTACATATATGTATATATGTAAGTAACACATAAATACACATGTGCACTGTTACCTACAGCTGAGTTTCATGCCACTACGCACATACACACATACAAACATACATACATGTGAACATTGTTGCTTCAAGACAAAAACGGTCATCATCTTCTGCGCAGGCGCCCGCGAGTCAACTTTCTATCGACCTCACTCCAAAGCAATAAAAATATGTCAGCAACAACACACACAAGGTTTACATATAATATTTGAAGAAAAAAGTTAAACACGTATTTGCATCTGTATTGTATGTATGTATATGAGGCTATGCCTTTACTTGCTTGCAAACGTGTGTATGCACATAGAGGTTGGTTAAAAATACATTGTCGATGATTTGACAAAATTTAGTGTGTTCAAAAAAAAAAATAACAAAAACAACAATTTTCATGAATTTGAAGAAATCATAATAAATTTTCTTGTGCGTTCACTATAAACCAGTGCTGCAGCTACGCACCGTGATGAGCGTAGTCACAAATACAAACACTTATATTTGCGTAGGATGTTTTCCTTGCCGCGCTTCTCCCTCATCTGCAGTTGATTTTGTCTAAAGTAAAGACTTTAGCAGACCTTTCTTTCAAATTTGTATTTAATTTTATTTCATCATTTTTTTTCTTCATTTTTGCTTTTCGTCCGTTGTATCTTTGTGCGCATCCGTTTTGCCTATGAAAACACAGACTTTCTGGGTGTATGTGTTTTCTTTGGAAATTGGTCAAAATTGTTTTTTATAAGGCGTTATTAAATGTAAATAAATAGAAAAAATAAAAACCGCAGAGTTAAATGACAGCTTCTTTTCTTCTTGCTACCTGACAGTGTTGAGTTATTCAAATACATACATACATATGTATAAGTATGTATATATATGTACCTATATACCATATATACATATTCAACGGGTTCAAATACTTTTTGAACTAATCGATTTAGCAAAACAGCATACCTTTTTTATAGATCATAGAATTCACAAAAATATTAATTTCTTTTCACAATAGTTTGTTGAAACACATTAACAATCATTTGTTGGAATGCATAAAACGTCTTAACACAAGAACAAAATATTTCTGTGGTATTTATATGGAAAATCAAAAATCACAATGCGCCACCTGTTAAAAATAAATACTATTAAGAGCTCAAACTTTACCGGAATTCTTTAACGTAATTTTCGACGTTATCTGAGGAAAAAATAATAATTTTTGTTGGTCCACTCTAATAACGGTTGTCTTTTATTGTGTGATTGAACAATTCTTTGTGAATTTTAAAATTTGTCAGCAAGTTTTCTCTTTGTCATTGTGTTACAATCGGCTACAAAAGTGGTTAAGACCGTTGCTATACCTATTGTAGACGGTAAACGAACATATTTCTGATTACATTTTTACTAGCAATTGGAAAATTTCTCACAGGTGTCTTATGAAACACCGTAAGCAATGCTTTAGCAAGCTCTAAGAGCTTCATATATTATGTCAACCTATCCCTAAATAAAAGGTAAGCATGCGGAGGTGTTGTAGCTGTCCTCGCTGGTGGCGTTTGGGACATCAGTATAGCTATTTCGTAACCCAATGTATAAAAATAAAACTAAATTGTAACGTTTAGCCTCAGATTTATTATATTAAAAAAGTTTTAATTGAATTTTGTTGTGATCTGTGTTAACGAAGAATACAGGTTGTCTGTTTCATAAATTATGGTTTGGCTTACTTTGGTACGACTAATCAGTCCATAAGCGTGGACTTGTGTTAGCATTAATTTTTCGTAATTTCGCTTATATCAATTATCCATTTCTTATATCTGTTCAGTTCTGTTAATTATACACTATCTGCTCTGATGTTTACGGTAGATTGCTGTGAACGAGGTACTATTCTAAATTCGAACAATCTTAAGTGAAATATTCTCTTATTGATGTTTCCAACGCAGTTTTTTTTTTTTTTTGATTGCTAAACTGTGTTGATTATAATGCTCTTTTTCATTGCGTCTGTACTATGCTGGCAGCCGCATTTCATTATGAACAAACACTCTCCGAACACTTCAAAGTAGTTCCAATGAACCTCTTTTAACCGCTTTTTTGGGTCACATGCGTTATACTAATTCTCCAGAATGCAATTCTAATTATGCCAACGAATTTATAGAGTTAATATATCTTCGATTTTCTTCTCATCATTTCTTTCTAAACCGATTAACCCGGTCTTACCTATATCATAATTGCTTAGAGAACAAAAACCTTGCATTTATTGCTGAAAAATATAAAGGTGCCTATTAAACTATATATATCCCGAGTTAAGAGAACTTTTTTAACTAATAATGCTCATAAAAATCTATAGAAAATTTATTTATTACCCTTTTTATTTCAAGAGTTAGTACAGTCTAGAACTCCCAAAACACACTAATTTTGACAATTCATTCAGCGGGTAAAAAATAAGAAATCGTATTTCGCTCTTCCATTCTTTCATATTATTAGAGTGAATAATAAAATTGTATATAACATTTTGATACAAAAAATAGCCGTTACTGGACAACTCATCGGAATTACATTTTTCGAAGGATGACCGTGACCGTAACCAAATACATTTATTCTCGAAATTGGGGCATTGTTAAATAAGGTTAACTGTTTTACCGGAAAAATTAGAAGTGAATTGTTTATAACAAAGTTACAATACTAAAAAAAAATACGGTTATGTTAATGTTATGTTAATGTTACTGCGAAGCTACAGTAAAAATTTCAGGTGAATATATGTGATTGTCTATCAATCTATCGCCCGATTGGAAAAATTCTGTTAAGAGAAATACTCATTTAACGCCATTCTACTAATTTAGTAATGTACAATACTTAGGATCCTAAAGTGTACTTTAATGCAACAAAAATATTTTCTAATTTTTGAAATTCTTAGACTTGCCTCTCCCATTGAAACTGCTCCTTAGGTAGATTATTTACGTCAATTGCAGCTAAAAACTTAGAAGTTTAGACTTCTCATATGACAAAAATATTTACAGAAGCGTGGCGATTTGCCAACTACCTTAAACAGGTTTGTTAACTAAGAGTTTAAGAAGGAAGAAATCTACATAATTTCATTTGGCAATTCACATCGCTTTTAATTATATTATATTCAAGTTTATTGTTTGCGCTTTGTTTTGCCTTTTTATGTATTTTTATAATTATAGCAATACTATGAATTTTTGTTGACTAAGGTACAACAAAAAATCAGTGTTATAACGATATTCTAACAAAAATCGTGTTTGTTAAGTGCTATATAAGTGTAAGTTTATAATAAAGTTTGGTTGTTAATTTTGGGAAATTTGTATTTAAAATTTGCTCAGATTATTTAAATGTAATTGATTTTAAATTTGACCGCTGTGATAATACGCTCAAACATATACCCATATCTAAATAAAGTAATATAATATTAAAATTAACAAAAATTTAGCTAACCTCTCCAAAGAACCAAACACCTCATAATTCTCGTTTTGGTTCACCAAATTCAGTATATCCTTCACTGAAAACGGCGTTGTATTTAAAGAATCCGAATTTGTAAAATTAGTCGGACTAGATTGACTGTAATCGTAGTATCCCTGTGACACCTGTGATTGTTGTTGATGTTGTAACATATTGGTGAGCTTTAACGACGGCACTCTACACTTGATTTGACAATTTGCACTGTCCACTTGAAAGTCTCGCTGGCACATACACTTGTATGTGGAGTTTAATAAAAACAAATTGTTTTTATTATTTTATTTGCACACCTGTTTTGACGAGTTAATCCACTTCCTTCTAAAGTACTTTTACCTACACATTGTTTTTTGTTATTATACATATAAGCTGGTATTAGTGTAGGTATGTAAATTTATTTTATTTGCAATTGGTATTATTTACCGTAGCGACAATGCAAACGCGGTATAATTTAAATGCGGACGGGCCGCTCGACTGGTTCCGATTGACTGCCTTCTTCTTTTAATTAACTGTAAACGAAAACACTGAGCCCATGTGTCAGCCATGGCATTGACATACATATTTACACACACATAGTCTGTTCCATGCATAAGCACACAAACACTGCTTTCGTGCCGCCGTTAACCCACCCGTTGTTTGTTGTGTTATTGGTGAGCGATGTTGTGATTCGCATGAATGTTTTGTGTATTTAAAAAATGGCTGCCACTCCGACCAATCACATTGCGACGGAATGTTTCATTCCGTTATTTATGTGTATTCCGTCAGAGAACTCTCTCTATGTTTTCTGATACGACGAGCCATTGGTGAGATCGTTGCAATACAATGTTTCTATCAGATTGACCGTTTTCAAATAATGTTTTACAAAATAATTATCTTATTTATAACGTATTTACTTATTTTCGCTATTCTTGTCACATCAGTATGCAAAATGTTTTATTATAAATAACAAAGCGAACTGACATTTTATTTCGAATTGGGTTAGGGGGTCATATCATTGTTATTTATTATTATTCTATTTATCTACTATTTTTTACTCTAAGTTGTCTAGGTAAAGCCTTTTCATTAAAACTTTTTCTATTATAATCTTAATATTTTTTATTAAAAATTTGTTGAACGATTAAAGAAGCTAAATCTAAACTAATTTCAATCAATAATATATCAGCCTTAGGGTTAATTTATTATTTTAAGATTGGAAGTGTAACTAATGAAAAATATGATTTTAACAATCAAATGTTACTCTTTTATAAGATAAAAAATATATATTAAAATTAAAAGGTAAATTTAGTATACATTTTTTTAATAACATATTTATGATATTTAAAAATTGTCCATTAGAAAGAATTTACTGTTATCACCTAAATATTTTTTTGTTGAAAGTATTTCAAGTCAGTGTTATTGACTGCAAACACTGACAATTTTTTTTTGTAATATTACTTTTGTTACTCATTTATAATGAAAATATTAATTATTATTATATGATATTTCTTCTACGTAATTCTTTTGATATACCCGAAAAGTAAGTTTTAGTAAATAAAATAAACGTAAATATAACGTAAATAAAATTATCTATTTCTTTTTTTTAATGTGGCTAATAGAAGGGATTTTTCTTTTCTTACTATATTAAAATATCTTTACTAATATTTGGCAGTTTTATATTCAAAAATCCTGAAAATTAATAACTCATTAATTTCAGCTGTTCTGTGTTGTATTGTCTATTTTAAATAGCATAGATTTTCTGGAATTTAGTTATAAATTAATATCTAAAACTAAGCAAATGTTTTAACTTTTTCTGAATTTTCCCTGTAACAACACTTGTTGTCAGCCCTGCATTGAAATATCAAATAATAATTTTCACCCCGAAATTATTAATGAAACTATCAAAAAACATTAGTTTTGCCCGAAAGATAGCAGTTATGGTCCGATCATATTCATACCGACATCTAACACTTGCTTCAAATGTAAAAACATCTGTTTGCTACTATTTAAATACTAAAAGTATTTTTTACCGTGATGAAGAAAAATTTAAAAAGATTGCTCGAATAGAAATCTTACTTTACGTGTGAACGGTGTGTTATAAATTACTGAAACCAGATAGTAACGTCTGGCAACATCACAATGTTTTTTGTAGGAGGCGTAGAATAACAAAATAATTGAGTTTTGGTAATTGTTATTAGAAACATTTGTGTTTTTAACAACTACTTAAAAAAAAAATAGTTCAAAATAGAAGCACGACAATGGCTTCACATTTAGATCCTCAGCTTGAGGATCGAATTTTGCATGAAGTAAAGTCACAAGGTGTTTTCGATGAATTTCGCAAAGATTCAATGGCAGACGTGGACACCAAGCCTGCTTATCAAAATCTTCGACAACGTGTGGAAAGTACAGTGAAAAAATTTCTATCTGAACAACAATGGACGCCCGACATGAATAAAAATCAACTACGTGAGAAGTTGCGTAGACATATCACAGAGTAAGTCGTGTGGGACACGTTGGCGTAAAACATATTTAAATTTTTCTCATTTGCTTGCGCAGATCTGGTTTTTTGGATGTAGGCGTGGAACGTATAGTTGATCAAGTAGTGAATCCGAAAATAGGCACCGTTTTTCAACCGCGCATTGAAGAAATTACATATAAATATTTAGGTCTGCCACCACCTCCCGTCAAACACGAACCGCCACCACCAATCATGCATCCACTACCACCGTTGCCATTGACTGGACCGCCATTAAAAATAGAAACCAGCAGTCTTTTGCCGACTGGACTGGAACAAGTGAGTCCTGATTCCGATAAAGCGACAGTAAAATCAGAATGTCACGGAGACGACCCATCAGTCATGGATATGGACGTTGATGCCGATGATAAAACGGCAGACGAGGATGACGAGTCACCGCCTTTCGAACCACTTGTAAAATGTGTGGAACCAAATACAACTATAAAGTCAGAGATTAAGCATGAATATCAAGCTGATATGAAGCCGCAATTGAACATCGGCAAATTCGAAGCAATATCAAGCGAAAGTATGATAAAAGTTGAAACCGGTAATCAACAAGACTCAGAAACACAGGACACCTCCGTGTCGGCAAATTCAACAGATCCCGAAGTTGCGAAACATGCCAACATATCGTTTGGTACGGATGCGCTAATATCGCAAGATTCTCAATTATCACAGGTGTCGAGTGACAGTAACATCTCTGACGTGACTGCAAATGCCTCACATAGTTTCATGGATAATTCCAGTACACATAACACGCCACAAACGATTTCCGATCAAACAGCAGCAGCGATTGAATTGGCTTCTGCGAATATATCTGAGGAGGCACAAATGCCAAAATTCAGTGAAAATTCGTCCGAAATGTTAGGTGCGAAGTCGGCGCCATCTGAGCTACATTTCGATATTAAAAAAGACGAGATTAAATTTGAAGGTAGGTTGGGACGCATTATTAGCTCATTCATTATATATATTTGTATGGGGAAATAACAATTGATTTATAGGCACTGAGCGAAAAGCGAATTTGCTGGAACGGGAAGGCGAATGCAATTCAGTAACAGGTGATGATATATCGACAAGACAAGTGAGTACTATAGGTGAAAATTTGGAAAGTAAGGGGGCACCACATCACTTCGGTAATTTAACAATCGATACTGATGTGGAACGCATGCAAGCTACAGGCATCACAACGCCTGCAGCGACACCTACCCCCACACCTCTGGACAGCAGTTTCGGTTCTTCCTTAGAAGATGTAAGTATTCAGCAATACAAAGAGGAGGGTGAAATCGAATCGAAAGCTGAATCTGTGAATGTAACAGATGGAGTATTTCCAATACCCATGCAAGAGCAGCGGGATAAAAAAGAAGCAAGTACTTCACGCAATCACGGTTCCTCCTCATCGTCTTCGCGACATAAAAAGCATTCGAAAGATAAACGGCGATCGCACAGCTCAAAAGACAAGTATAAAGATCGGGATCGAAGCAAAAACAGGAGTCGAGAGAAGGATAGGAGTAGTGATAGGGATAGAAGTAGCGATAAAAGTAGACACAGAGAAAAAGACAAGCACAGAGATAAAGATAAGAATCACAAGGAGAAGGATAGAAGCAAGGATAGATCACGCACACACGACAATAGTACAAAGAGTAAGAATGATAGTACCGAACGTAGTAGTAGCTCCAAACGGTCTAGCTCCTCCACCGGTCGCTCTCATGATACAAGTTCAAGTAACAAAAACGAAAAGCACGCCACATCGAAAACTTCAAACGCTTTCACATCTTCATCAAGTTCGTCGAGCCGATCTGAAAGCCACGACGTGAAGCGTGAGAAACGTGAAAATGAAAAGAAGCATCATCGAAGCACTTCAAACAACGGTGGTAGCGCAAAAAAAGATGATGGCAGTGCAGAAAATACCAAAACTGAAGCACCCATTGATGATCACAATAGCGAAAGGGTGAATCAAGTGCGGCGACACAAATCAACCGATTCGAATGACGAAGGTGGAGGTGCTAATGGTGCTAGTCGTAAAAATGGCGGCAGCGAGCGCGAAAAAGCTGGTCAGAACACCACATCAAACAACAACGATAAGAAACCAAGTCAAATTAAAGATACGAAGAACTCTTCGCATAGTCCAAAAGAGAAGTCAAAAAGCGGTAAGTTTGTGACAAAGTCATGTGAGTCATGTGTCATAAAAATATACGTTATTTTATTTTAAGAACACGAAGAGAAACCTGCTGTAGCGTCGACTATGATAACTGAAGATGTAAGTACAAATGCGTTGGCGACACAACCACACGGCAATAAAGTAGTAATTTTAAGTGATATGCTCGAAAATCCCAACATCAATTTCATCGATCTGGGACCATCATCAGCCACATATACTCACACCTCTGAGATGATTGTGAAAGATTGTCAAATAGACAACACATCAACTAAACGCGCTATTACACCAGTCGTGCAGAATACTCAAGCTGCAAGCGCGCTCACTACAGATGATGAGCGCCAGCTACTTTTCTTCGAAGAAGCAAGTGAACAGTTTTCTGATCGCTTGCGTCTCATAGATAACGCCATGGATCGCTGTCGGCGTGTGGTTAACAATTTACGTTTCGATTGTGTTAATGAGTTGTGCGACAATTACGAACAACAGCAAAATGAAGGCGAAACAGACGACGGTAAAAGACCACAAACATGTGCTACTTTAACGATCGATTGTGTGCCCACCTATGCTGCGGAGCGTGAATATTTCAACAGCGGCGAAAGAAGTGCGGGCAGCTCGGTCGGTAGTACATACGATGGCGTTCACAACTTACATGGGAAACGTAAACGCAATAATAACGGTAGTCTTGTACAAAGTAAGCCCTCACCCACGCCATCCGATGCGAGCGTGAATTCCAAAGAGAATATGGCGTTGGATAAAAATGCCGGTAAGCAATTAATACATCTTGCCAACACCCCTACATTTTGTGCTCGTAGATTTTTGCAGTGTTTTTTATTAATTTATTTAATTTGCATTATTCTGTAACACATATTTTTTGTTTAATTTAGTTGTAATATTTGTAGAAAAGTAGTATACTAGTTGTTGTTTGCTTGCTTCCACCTAAAAATAAAGTAAACAGGTTTGTAAAGGTAGTGAATAGAAAAAATCTCGAGTCTTTCAGATGTATCGCCTTAATACTTTAACTGTAAATAGTAATAGTAAACGAAATATTTTATCACCTATTATGCCCTGAACAGAAACGCACTGAAACCTCGGATCCTATAAAATATATAATCGGTATATAAATGATCAGCGTGACGAGCTGAGTCATATTCGCCCGTCTGTCTGTTTATACGCGATAAAAAACAAAATAGAAATTTTAAACAATTTTATGCTATAAGAAATGCACCTGTGTAGGGTATTATAGCTTCGGTGCAGTCGAAGTGAAGTTTTGTCTTGTTTTTTAACAATTTGTCTTGTAAATAATTTCTCACGTTTTTTTATATTCTTTAGCAACGAATAACTAGATTTCTATTTTAGAATAAGCGTTAAAAAAAAAAAGCTTGGTCAATTAAATTTTATGAGATGCTTAATTATATGTTGAATGTACTAATCGTTATCTCCATTTTCCATCTACATATGCATGTATGAATTTGTGTTAAAAATTTATTTTTCGTGTGTGTGAATTCACTCTGCAATCATTTCCGATAAGGTAAAAATTTTTTTTCTGTCACAAAAGTGTTTCATTTACTACCCCAAATAAATTTTGTACTTACTTGTATATAAAAAGAGTTTAGAAAACTTTTTCTTTATAAAACATATGCTATATTAAATGAAATTTAATTAAATACATTTTATTACTAAACCATTATTTTTTTTGGTCTTGACATATTTATTAATTTAATCAAAAGTTATTCTATAATCAATATTTTTTGAATATTTCTGAAATATTTTTTTTTTATGGAACTCTGTACATCTTACTTCCTCAATAACTTATGTAGATATATCCACTTGCACGTTAGAAAAACCATAGTTTTTCGTGAAATCGGTTAAAGCAGCATTTTATTTCAAAAATAAATAAAAAATGTAAATTTATAGAGTTTAATGTACTTTAATAATCGGTGATTCATTTTGAAAAAATTTGAATTCACTTGATCCCGTAGCTGCACTCCAGAAGTATGACCGAAAAAAAGGTGTCTGGCGTTAAGGAAGATTTTTATGCTTAAAGCTATATAAAATCCAAAACATAAAAAAATTTGTTGTCATCATAGATTAATACAAGTAATGGTAGAAGGACTAGTTACAATTTTTATTTTTGACAAAATGGCGGCTTCCCAAAAAAACTCGATTTTAATGAAAACATTTACACTTCAGCGTAGCTTAAAAAATTCGAAATTATTATCAAAAATCTTATTCGATCATTATCTGACAAATATTCTTAGCTATATCTGTTTCTAGTTTATCTCAACGACTTCGGTACAGCGTATCGAGAAAAACGCGTTTAAAGTTTTGGCAGCGATTACACTAAGTTTAAGAATTCATACAAATACGCTTACATCTCTTTAAACTGTTTGCTGGATCAGCTTTAAATTTTCGAAGAATATTCTCAAATATATTCGATATACATATATGCAAAACACAAAATCATTTTTTTGAAACTCACAAGTGGATATAACGCCTTTAGTGTTTAAATGTCAAAATATTTCCGCATTTTAACTTTTTAATTATAGAAATAATTTATAAATAACGCTTACTCATTTAATAAATTTTTGTAATTTTAAATCTTGCACCCAAATTATTATATGTATATGTATGTATATAAGAATTACTAATACTATTGGCACACGTACACACTCATTTATTGCAAACTCACGCTAATTTTTCTAATTTTGAATACTTATAAATTACAACGAAAATAAATGGTATTTTGAATTGTAAAGCAAAGTTTAAATTAAAAATATTTAGTAGAAAATTTTGTAAGAAATTGTAAATTGCTAATTACTTATTCGATTAACAGATATCACGTTGTTTTCTTTTATTTACATTTCGATCTATTCTTCATTGATTTTTAGATATGCATACAAATTAAATCAAAGAAAAGCAAAACTCAATATGAAGCGATTAATAGGTACTGGTAAAAATGTAGCGTCTACGCGTATCGCATGACCTAATAACATAGTCAGTTATAAAAGAGTTCATTAAATTAAATGTAAACAAAAAACCAAAACAAAAACAAAAATGTATTGTATATCCTACAAAACATGCTGGGTAAGCAATTTGTTAATTAATTTTGAAGTGTTTTCAATTGATTATTTGAGTATTTTCCTTTTTCCGTTTAAATTTCCTATGTGCCTCTTTATTTATTTATTTTATATCTAATCTGCCGCTACTTACTTTTCACCTACATGTTTATGTGTATGTTCGTATTGATTTTTCTTTTCAACGAACTTTAATGTGTGTGTCCTTTACAGATGAGGTGAAATGCGTTCGCCGCATTGCGTCTGTAAATAAATTGAGTCAACAGCGTTATAACAGTGAGGATCTGTACAAACCGCGTCCTATTTTAAGTCAACGTTCACGTCGTAGAGGTATGGATACCATAATCTAGAAGTAGATGTTGTTTTATCAGCGGCGTAATAAAAAAAAATATTTAAAATTTAAAAATTTATATACATTGCTTAAATAAAGAAAAAAATATATATATATATGTACATTTATACAAGTGATATAACTTTTTTTTTAATAATGTAATATGTTGTTGTTGTGATAATTGCGGAAAAAGTCCCCAAATAATTGGTGAAACGTCAGTGAGTAGACTGTACTTGGCCGGATATAAATCCGTGTCCAATTCGGTTATGTAGATCCGACCGTCGTGATCACGGAGTCACATTATTGTATCATATGTTCTTCTTAATGCTCCTTTTGCACCTAAAAAAGTACAATAATTTATGAGATAAATTATGTATTCAAAAAAAAAAAAACAAAAAAGGTTTTTATAATAAAGTTGCACTTTTTTTATTACAACTGACCGAGGTTTTAAGCAGTGCAAGTAAGATGCCTGTTAGGATCGACCTCTTAACCAAACCTAAGACATCCTTTCGGAACTTTCTTAACAAAAATTTAAATTTTCTCATTGAAAAAATCGTTTCTACGTGTGTGAGCTTTACGATTTATTCATGGCTCATATTCGTATTCTGTCTAAAACTCTAATTCGTGCGGAACCTGCTATTTCTCGGAACAAATTACGCTTAAAGGCAACAAGTCATTCAGCTGGAGTCGGTCGCCGCTATACTTAACAAACATCTCGACAACATCGTCCAAATATTTAATATTTTACATAACAGTGAGATAATAACCCGAAATTTCTTTTTTTTCGCGTACCAGTATTCTAAACTCCAAGTAATAATTCCCAAAATTCCATAAAAAAAAAAATAATAATAATACTAAATATACTCTGTTCAGTGTATAAAAACGCTGTTAGTGGCGCCATGCTTTCTATATAGTGCTTTTCACTATTCTAAATTCCATTTTTACTTCTTTTGATATTGTAATAATATATAGGGTACATATTAATAATACCAAAAATGTTACAAACAAAATTTGGCACAAAACTTTAAGCGTAAATTGAATAATTGTATTTTACAATATATTTTTATTTACATGAATGGTTAAAACTTTTACAGCTTCTCAAATTTTATTATATAAAAAAAAAGTTCAATACACTTACCCCACTCGCGCCCCACTAAATAAAAATGCAAAGCATACATTTTGGCGAAAAGACAATTTTTCAGCTTTTCTGTTTGTAAATTACAAGGTTGTGTAATTTAATAACAATAAAATTTTTAAGTTAGCATATATTAAGAGTTTTACATTTAATATAATTTAAAATAATATTAACAATTTTCATATCTTGCAGTCACCACGCTAAAACCACAATCTAAATAGCTTGAATGAAAACAAAAAGGTATTGAAAAGACCTGTCTTTCAAGTAGCAAACTGAACATCATCTTCTTAACTCCGAACATATAAGGCGTGCATGGTGTAATATATATGTAATCACAGTAGAAATTCTCTTGCAACGTGTGTGACTATGTGTGTAATTGTATGTATGTATGTCTGTATGTTGTTAGAAATTGTTGTCGATTCCATGTTGTAGCGTGGTAATGGCAAAATAATAATTTCAACTTGCTGCTAGATCGCGCTGCACTTGAACTTAAACGCAGTTCGATACCGTGACTTGTATTTTTATGCACTCGTATAGTTGGGTTGTGAATTTCTTGGAAATTCAAAATGCTGCTAACGAGTATTGTGCCTACAACTACGCATGGCTCCATTTTTTGTTCTTGTGGTTTTATTTTTATATTTACTTTTCTTTTTATATATATGTATAAACTAGGTTTATTTAGTGTATTGTAATTAGATTACAAGTTGATCCTCTTTTGCAAAGATTTTATTGTGTACAGTAAACACGTAGTGATTTTTCGAATTGATTTCATTTTCCGAAATTGATACTTTTTTTTTTATTTTTACAAACATGAATTTTTACACCGCAAACAATTTGCGGACGGGGGAGAGGGGAAAGGCGCATCGTGCCGCAAGGTATGGTTGCTGAGCAGGGATGTAGATAAAGACATGCATATTTACATAATGCCGTAAAAGGTTCGGTTTTTCCGAGAGTTGACGAAATGTTCCATCCTGCTGCCACCACAATTAAAGCCAAAGGGTTTCAGCACTGGTTCGATGCTACTCTTTTTAGTATTATAATTATTTTATGCATTTAATAGCTTTAAATTTAGTTTGTCTTGTTTTTTCTTCATTGAGCTTCTTTGCAGTATGTGCTACAGGCAGGTGATGGGTATTTAAATACCAAACAAACAAAAAATAACATTTATCACATTCATCACCACCAAACAGAACTTTCGCCATTTAGATAACCTTCTTGAGCACTCTTTTCGTAATATCGTCTTCGTGGTAGGAAGTAATTTGGGGTGACTCGCAGTGTGACGGTCCACGTCGACACTGTTAAACACACCACCCCGCCCAACTGCACGCACCAGACCTCACAATTAAGACACGCCAAAAAATAAATAAATATACACGCACACACCAGCGTTGCCAAATACCGCAATAAAGTTGTCTGTTGTATTAACGTGCGCTTTACGCTGGCATTGAATCGTCGCTTGATTACTGTAAATTTTTATAGGGTTTTGTATATTACAATATTTTTTTTTATTTCATGTTGCTCCCCTCTCTCCAACGCTCGTTCTATTTCTGAGTATCACTCTTTGAATTACGGACTCGAGTATCCTCGTTCAAATGGTCGCGTACTTTTCACATCCGTATGCCTGGTGTGTAGATTTAATGCAGATGTAGTCACATTACTAGGCAGTTCACATACGCTTTTGATCGCCGTTGCACTACTTGGCGCTGGTCCAGCTGTCGCACCGCCCGAGCTGACGCTGCTGGGCGCTGTAGCTGTTGTAGCACTTGGACTTGTTGGTAGCTCCTCCACGGCATCGGCTGTTGTCACTGGCAGCACGTAGGCTGTTTTTTCAGCGGGTTCCACTACATCATCTCGCCGCTGCAACGCATTCTTGCCGGTGATCGATGACTTGTAGGTGCTATGATTAGAGCCAGCCAAATAGAATTTGAAGAATTCATATGTTGACCAGCAAATGGCGGTTGCTGGCATTGAGTACAATACGCGTGCCAACATGCCACGGAAAAAGCCTTTCACACCAGCCACTGCGTAGATCTGCAACCAAATTTAAGCAATTATGTGATTACATTGCACCTTATACGGGCAGCTTAAGACACATGGTAAGCACTACTTTTTTTCTTTACCTGCCGAATTGCTTCACCCATGCCCTTTGTCAGCCCATTCTCCTGTGTATTTAACAGCGTTTTCACCACATCTAGTGGCGTTGTGAAGGCAGCAGCGGTAGCACCAGCCGCGCCACCGGCCACCATATGAACTACGGGACTATATCTTCGTTCATGATTCAACTGTTAACGTGTAAAATATAGTATTATTAATTTGTACGTAAATACCGCAAATTCTATTAATATTTACCATATTTTGGAAAAATTCGTATGTGGCAAAATGTATTGTCTGATATGGTATGTTCATTACTAGCTGTGTGGAGTACGATCTGTAGAATGCTTGAATGCCCTCAGTACGATATACGTCCTTCATACAGCCAATAACTGAATTATACTTAGAATTGTACATTTGCATGCGTTGTTTTATCACATCTGTGGGATTCGATACGGCATCGTGTATGAGTGTCGCTATAACTCCGGACGCCACTAAAAATTAAATTAACGGAATTTACATTATAACCACTTTATATAATATATAATATAATATTAAATATTATACTCACTATAATTGACATGATTGTTGGTGGTAAACCTAGTCAGGAGCTCTTTCGTCATTTCGTAGGAACCAAAGTACAGCGCATGTGCGGGTCCGGCGCCAGCAACAACAGCGGAGACACCACGTATAGGTCTGCAGCAGGCCATCAATAGTTATGAAAAACAATATGGAATTGCCAAAATTTTATCAGTATGGACAAAAAACAAAAAACAGCTTGTAATGTAGCAATTAACTCACCTCATAATACCCTCTTTCTTGATCATATTCTTGAAGGTGGTGCTGATGTCATAGTTGGATGTGACTGGCGATAAACTTTGCATTCTTGTCTGAAATTATGTATGTATACGTGTACAAACAATATTGATAAGGTTTAATAATAAAGTGCATCTTGCATGTGTGTGCATTCATTTGAGAAAATAAATATTTTAAGTTCACTATTTATTATTTGACTATAAAAGTTGCGTACAAAAATAACAAGGTTAGAGTCTATACATATATGTACGAGTATATGTAGATGTAGATATGTATAAATATTTATGTTTATGGGATAGTATATCGCTTGTATAAATATATATGTATATGTACATACATATATAGATTTTTATGAACTGTATAATGTAGCGGTATTGATTGTTCACCAATCCTTCATATAATTGGACAACTACAAAAACATAATTGTAATGAAAATGATATCTATTTTTATTTAATATTAATTTGTTGGTCTACACAAATTTAATTTAGGAAATTGTGTCGTGTGGTAATTATATGTTATGCTATACTTAATTATTTTGAAGTACTTAGTAATTGTAGAGCATCTCATTTTCGCTTATAATTAAAGCGCTTATTCGCAATTTCATAATCTAAATTAATATGGAAAGTTCTCTACATCAAGTTGTTGCACTTCAGCTCGGTGCACAGCAAAAGCCGGTCGTCGAGTGCAGTTTTCGCTTGTAGATAGATGTATGATGCGTACATGTATGTATGTATGTGCACCACTTGGTGGTAAAAATGTCGTGTGCTCGGGAAAGGCAATTGATTTATGCAAACAACGCCCTGCTATCATTGCTCAAACAAAAACAAAACATTATTTATAACGCTATTACGTCTCTTTAGAGGTTCTTAAAACAAAACAAAACAAACAAAAAAAATTGAATATAGTATATTTGGGGAACTGACAGTAAAACCTTATCTAACATTGAAATCTTAAACGGCACTTGCGTGGTTTCCGCGAATCGTTATATATCGAATTGGGAAACAGATACATATGTCAGAGTGGATAGACGACGGCTGATTGGCGTGATGCAGGAAAAATGATATAGGGAAAAATATAACGATTGTGTGAGCTGAGTAGAAGTAGTGTTTGTAGTTGCTAAAATTTCATTCATATATATACATATATATACAATATACATATATATATGAAAGTAGAAAATAGCACTCTGAAGTGTTAATTAAGTAATTAAACAAATAAAAATTTTAATTATCGAAGTACGAAACTATTGGTACAACGAAGAAGAATATATATTATAGGTTATATAATAGGCAAGAAACAAATGCATATATGTATGTATGTAAAGTACATATTTTACTTTCACACTAGACAAAGCGTTTGCAAGAGAACTTGGAATATATGAGCATACGTATATATGTATATGTTCATATGCACACAAAGAAAGCGTATTTAAAATCAATTTTAAACTGAACTTCGCTTTGTGTTCGAGCATATTTTAAAATGTTAATTATTTTACCTCGACATGTTCTATAATGACCCCAATGAAAAATAAATAAAAACCATAAAGCTTTTGCAATGCAATAAAAAACAAAACCAAAAAAAAGTTGCACCAAAACTATAATACCCCCATCAATAAAAAAGTTTCCATACAAGAACTTGCTTTGACTTGTTGGAGAAACGTGCATATGCATAATTTCGATATCGATATCTCAAAAACTGAGGAACTAGCTCGCGTATATACGAACGCATAGACAAACGAACATAGCTAAATCTACTCAGCTCGTCACGCTGACCATTTATATAATATATATTTGAAGAGTCTGCCTGTTCAGGGTATAAAAAAACTATAAAACTGTTAATAAATACCAAGCATAACATACAAACATACTTAAATAACAAATATTAAGTTCTATGAATTAGTTATAAAGAAATTAAGAAGAGGTGGCAAACTCGTCAACAAATACATATGTATGTAGCTACACTAACAAGATCGCGCAAAAATGTATACAATAAAATGAAAAAAAAATTATCCAAAAAAATCACGCACAGAAATTTTTCTACTATTATATGCAATGACGACGAGTGTATGCAGTTAAAGTTGTATATAGTAGATAAGTTTTTACGTGTGTTTGGCGAAATCGATAACTTGGACATAACATAGCAGAGATGATGTGTATTGCAGAAAAGTTAAAAAATCCAAGAGAGGTTATGTAGCAGTATGCATGAAACAGTTTTCAAATGCAAATAGGAATTAGAAAAAAAAAACAATAATTTTCTACTAGCATTAATTATAAAAATATTTTATTTTTGCTGTAAACGGTAAAATTTCCAAGAAATCGTATAAATCAGTTTATCATCGTTTTATTTATAACCGCCCACTTTTATGCATACACTCCTACATATTCTATATAATATACACAACTTTGTATGCATTACCCAATAAGTTATAAGGTGTGCTATAGATCTCTAACCGAACGCACGCGAGGCTCATTCATGAGCACGATTATATGTATATAGTATATATAAGAGTATATTAAATGATTTAAATGTATATTTAATAGACACATATACATACTCATATACTCAACTATGTGTGTATATGCGTATTTATAATAATGCAAATTACATACAATCAAAAGTAAGAGAAAATTAAAAGATAATTACTAGGCATGAAGACATGACAGTAAAAAAATGCCAGTACAATTGTTGTTGCGCACTTTATTACCCCCAATGGAAAAAAAAATCAACAACAATAACATGCACTCGTTCAATTACAATCGCGGAAAGTAAAACATACAAACATATATGTATGTATATGTGTCTATATACTATATACAAATGTACATACTTATGTATGTATTGGAGCAGAAGCCACGATAAATGACGATTGAACAAACACTTCACAATTACTACTCATTTTTTTTTGCACAATTGTAGTATGATAACCATATTATTTTATAATTTTTTCCCCCATTTTTTGTTGATCCAACCAAAAGTGCGGGCGGTATGGAAGAAGAAAAACTTGCGAAATTCGTTTCAAGCTCTACATAATGTCTACTAGTAGTCTATATGCCTTTATATATTAAATTACATTGTTATGCAAAAGCACATCGTTTGAAATTTACAACAATTTGTCACATCCCGGCATTTCGTTGACTTCAATAAATGTCCAGATGATTCTGAGAAACATTTAAGATTTCTACAAATTGCTACAATTTTGTTTACTGATTCGTTTCAAATTCTGATCACATATGCAATAAATTTGTGTATTTTTTCTTCGCATACCATTCCTATGTGTATTTCATGATAAATCCCCAATTAATTATATAAGACACCGTATGCCGACACAGGTAATTACACTATTTTCAACAGAGCAGATATGCATATAGAGAATAATTAACATAAATATGAACATAAAATGCATATGTATATCGTATATTTCATCAAATCATTAATCAACAATGCCTAATAACCAGGAAATAAGTGAAAATTCTTCCATTTCATAATTTTAATATAGCTTTTTGTAAGTACAAACAATAATCAATCATTAGAGTTTGCACATCATATAGTATAAAAATTTTTCGTGAAAAAGTTGTTTTCATATTATAAATAGGAAAATTTTTTATAACTTTTAAAAATTGCTTTCATATATAGGAATTTTTTTTTATTACTTTTTTGTCCAAAAATTTGCGTTCAAACCAATAAATAAATTAAGTTTTTTTGCTAGCTTAAAGTGCTTATCACTATTGTATATACATACATATATACATATATGTATAATGTCGGAAAAAAAAATATTTACGAACAGAAAAAATTCATAGCTAAATATAAACTCGTTTAGAGCCAAAATTTATTATATTAAATATAAATATCTAAAAGTTACGGAAAATAAAAGATACTGATTTAATAACTCTTCTCGATTGCTTGAAACTAAGCCAAATATGCTATCTATATTTAATTATTTTGACGTACATACATACATACATACGTAAATTTCCACTCATCACGTTCGATGTGATTGTCGTATAAGTATTTTAGTAATAGACTAACAATTTACTAGAATAAACGCGTTCACGTTATCATAATAATGATATAATACATATTTGATAGCAACACATTTAATTCACATAAAATAGCTTTAAGATCTAATTATTATCTTATCATATAGAAGTTGGCAGTCAGGTAAGTACGTTGTTGGCCAAATACATCAGTAGCCGATAAGCATTCTTCAGCCACAAATAATTAACCAAAGTGCGACCGCAGATTTCATTTAAGTATATAAAAAGTAGATCAAGCGATTTTAGCAACTAATAGTCATGTTTTGGGACATAAGCTGCTAACTTGAACGTGAATTACGTTGAAATATATGAAATTAAAATATATGAGTCGTATCGAAAATTACAGAGCAATTTACCTAACAATTTAGCAAAATTAAAGCAACTTACATAAAAATATTGTTTTAAACCTAAAGTTAATAAAGCTTAAAGTAATAATGACAATAATGTGAAATAATATTAAAATATAATGATTAATTGAAAGAGTTTATAGTTGCGGCAAATTTTAAAAGATCGATATAGGTATGTATGTATTATTGTATAATGATACCATGTAGGCTTATACAATGGTATGTACAGAGTATGTACACATATGACGATATGCTCATAAACTAGGGCATCTATTTATACTTTGAACAGCAAATTAAGTTTGCCATAAAGTTTGTAACATCCAGAAGGAACGTCGTAGGTTTATAAAATATATATATGTATATAAATGATCAGCATGACAGCTGAGTCGATTTAGCCATGCCCGTCTTCGGCCTGTCTGTATATACGCGAATTACTAGCTCAATTTTGAGATATCGATCTGAAATTTTGCACTCATTTCCAAAACGCTGCTCATTTATCGGAAACGCCGATATTGAATCACTATAGAATATAGCTGCCATACAACGGACCGATCAAACTCAAGTCCTTCTTCGGAAAACTTTTTTATTTGACAAAGTATCTTCACGAAATCAAACAAAATTCATCAAACTGACCGATCAAAATCAGAGTAAAGATCTTTTTATAACTGTGGAGGGTACTATAGCATCGGTGCAACTGAAGTTAACGTTTTTTTTTCTTGTTTTTCTTTTTTTAATGCTTAAGAGCATTAGTTCAAAATATAAAATCTATAATTACTACCAATATTGATAATTTTTCATACAAAACATTTAACCGCATATGGGTGTAGTAGTTTATGTTTAGTTAATAATTTTACAATACACCTGTTTTACTACTACCAATTACACCTGCTCCCACAATCCTTAACAAAGCAAACATCTGCTGATACATTAAAATACTTTCTTTTGCACTTATTTATATATGAAAAAGAACATCCGAGCACGCATTCATTACCAATAATAAATAGATATACCCATCTATGTTCTGGCATGCCATGCCGAAATTGAACAAACGAAAAAAAAAACATTTTTGTATAGGAAGAAAAACAACAATAAAGCAGCCAACAAAGAGGAAAGAATTACATCACGACGCTTAAATGTGAGGTTAGGGACAACGTTGCTAACAGCTGAGCAGTCAGCTTTCAACCGCTGATTTGTAACAAAAACTAAATTAAATCGATGGCTTTAGCATTAACTTAATTTCACATATAAATTTTTAAAACAGTTGACAAAAACTCACCTTAACCGAATCCAATGGATACATAACACAATGTTCCAATACGCCCGCAATTGCTCCGGCTGTCATATTAATGCTCACACTGGTAGTGGGTAATGATTCGTAGTCTTCCATATTCATTGCGGTTGTATTGCAAAAGCAGTAGTAATTCAATAAGCACGTAATGTAGCTATTAAACTAATGACAGATCACAGCTGCTGTACAAATTCAATAATCAATTGCTTTAAATGCCGCTATTTTAAGCAATTATATGCAATATATATCGGCAGTAAACAAACTGCCTTTACAGCAAAAAAAGGCAAATATTTGCCTCCTATGAATGGCTATACTGATCCCAAACGCTGCCGTCCGATTGCTGCGCGTCACTAACCGTTCGCAATGTGTTTTCACTCTTTGCCGAGCAAATAACGATGCTGCTCGCCAATACAACACCGCCACCACCACCTTGTACTCCCTTCTAATGGTCCACGAACTGCAGTTGTTACTTGCTCTACTGCTTATTCCCAGATTTTCTCTCCACTGCTGCTATTGTTTCTTTTGCTTTGGCGGTTAATTTCCTCCACGTTTCACACTTTCTTACTTTCCACGCTATCGACAGCTTACTTTTCTGTAATTGATAACAGCTATATTAAAGAATAAAAAAAAAGACAGTGTACATAATTTTTGCCGCTCATTTATTACTTCAAACCACTTCGGACTTCAGCATGTTTACTAAAATGGATTTACCTGAATACGACGTATGACCTGAATTTCACAAGTTCTTATTGAATAGAAATCTCTAAACCCTATTAGCACAGTCACAAGTTAATTGGCAAGCCAGAAGTTTTATTACATAAAAATTTTACAAAATCTCTCCCTGTAGCAATGCAAAAGAGTTATTTTTTAAGTTATTCAAGTTGTGGTACAATTAATTGGTATTCTGCGCACTTTGTCGTTGCGGTTTTAAACACATGCACGCCCAACTCAATTTTGCACTTGGAAAGACGACATACATCGCTTTTCCTTAATCTTTTGTATTCTGTTTTACGATAATTTTTCGTAAATTTTGAAACTGTCAAAACATTTAAATTAAGCGAGTTGCCATATCATTGCTTTCACTATGAACATGAATGTATGTCACATGCAGATGTCGCTGGCATATATTTTCGTATTAAGGTTGGAATTTAATTAATTAATTTTATGTAGAAATTAATATTATAGGTAATCTTTGTATTTAATAACAAAATTTATATGGCAATAATACGAAAGCGCGGCTCACAGATTGTGCATGGGGCAACTTTTACATATTTTTGAAAAATTTCCGTATGAAATACTTTTGCTCAACTAAAATAAATTTAGTAATTCAAAATTCAATATTACATTTATTAGGTATGACAGCTTTTTGTCTTTGCTACGCTATGTGGTGTTTAAAAAGAAGATAGTAAATTTAGATAAAACGATTTTTTTTTAAATCTTATTTTATATTTTTTTAAGTTTTTAATCAAATTAACATTAAAGGTTTAATAATTGAAATTACAAAAGAAGCGAATAAATTAAGTGTATACATATGTACATAAGTTTATGACAGACAATTAATAAAAAAATAGAAATACTAAATAAATTGAAACAGTATACTATATTATAAATAAAAGTGATATGGACTTAAAATAAATTAATTAAATTAATTAAACACGAAAACAATAATAATTGACCAAATTCAATAAAATAAGAAAAATAAATTAAATAAATCAATAATAGAAAATTAATATAAAATATAAATACTAAATAAAATTAAACATTTTAAGATATTATAAAAAAAAAATGTATATGAATTTGAATTCAATAAATTAATCATAGAGAGAATATGTAAAAAATAATAATAATTTGCCACCATTTTGATTATTTTTTTGTTTTGCCATATTTTTTTAAACAATTTTTTACTTATAAATCTCAAGAAAAATATTTTTGGCAAACTAAAACAAAAAAAGGAAAAAAAATTACTTTGTCATAATTATACAAATAAAAAGCATTTTTAATTGAAGTTACATTAATTCAAAAATAGTCTTTATTTTTGTATGCAATAACATATCTACATTACATAGTTTTGTTTCCTTCTAAACAATTTCGTGTACAATACATTTAAAAATATGAAGAAAACACTTTAAATTATTATTAAGTAAGTTATCATTAAGCATGAACATGTCTAAAATGAGGTAATTCTTTACAATGCTGCAAAGCAACGTTGGAATATTAAAGTACACGATTGATCTAAAGTACAATTAAATCGCGAATAACTATATAAATTATATTAATTACATATAAATGCCAAGTAATTATTCTTTTATCTAACACAAATGCTAACGACGATAAGCGCTTGTCAAAAACTAAATGGAATTTTTTATTGTCCTTTAAAAATGCAAAGTCTCTAAAAGATATTCTCAATAAAACTGCCTTTGGCTTACAAGCCCTTGTTGAACCATACTTCTTTAAGCTCGGCATTATGTTTTTTAATGTCTTGTTGCACGTCATCCTCCAAGCGGCCCACCTGTTCAGAAGAAAACAGAAAAATATTGTTTAATTATTCAAAACTTTTTATAAAAATGTTTATAGGTATTTAACCCACCTCGATTGCGGCGCGTTGACTGAAGAAAGCACAGCCCAACGGGGTGGCAAATATCAAGACGAAACCGCAGAAGAGTGTCTGGATAGGTGCGCTGGCTTTGGGGAAGCGCTTGAGGAAGCCACGTTTTTCCAACGACTGTATCAACAATGGTGTTAGTACTGCAGGGAGAGATGATGGAGAAATTGTCTAAGTTGTAAAAAAAAAATGTTTGACATAAAGCTCACCCATTCCAGGTGCAGCCATAGCAATGCGACTAGCCACCACAGCTGTGATACCAACGGCAGCTGCCTTCTTCGAAACGCCCAATTCATTGTTCTTTTCGTCCAGCAAAGTGACGCCGTTTTTCAACTCTCTTTAAAATGTAATTTAAAAGTTTGATTTATGAAAATTAAAAGCGGTTAATTGCATTCACTTACTGCATGCGCATCATGGGTACATTGATGCAATTAGCTGCTGCCACAGCCGCCAGGGGTACTAAACGTCCAATTAGCGGGTTTAAATTCTGCAATGTAGCAAAAATGAGAAAAGAAAATATATACAGTTAGTAAAAAGTAAGGTCAAATCAATCATTTCAAGTAAAGCTAAAATAATTTATCGCATGGAGTCAGCGAGATGCTATGTTGCATTCCTTAAGAAAAACATGTAAATAGAATTAGGGTGGTAATACTACTATGTTTAGTTTTTATAAGAAATGCAATTTTGTTGTTTTGTAACTACTTTCTATCTACTTCATCTTCGATAGTCCATGAGTAACTAAATTGTCAATAGTACCACAAATCACTTTGCACCTAGGGGCATTCTCGATAGGGCTGTTATTGACTCACGTTGTTAGTTTGGCAAAACAACTTACCTTCACTAGCCGGTTGAGGGAGAGTGCTGTGGTCAGCGCGCCACCAGTGGCCAATACATATGAAGTAAGCAATTGCCTGTAAGAGAGACACCATTAGATTCAATATAAGTAATAAATAGTATGCATAAGTATAACATACAAATATCTAAATAAAATTCAAAAATTATTTATATGTCCCAATTCATATACGGACTCTTTTGTCGCCCAAATCGGTTTTTTGAGGACGAGGAAAGACGAACGGACTGTGCCGGGTGGCACGCTTTGTGTTCTTGTTCGTAACATTTCGCTCCTACGCAATTCTGCATTCTTTTCCATTTTGAAGTTCTTTTCAGGGTTGCAATAGCGCGTGGTTTCAAATGAATATATACGATATTTTTGGAAATTTTAATTTTTTTTAAATAATATTAGTAGCAGGTATTGAATACATTCTGGTGGATTAGGGAATTCGCGACTTAATTATTTCTTTGAAACTATTAAGTTATAGCCGCTTATTGTTCAAACACAATAATTCCTTGTAAGCAAAATGTGAGACCAACATACAAGTGAACTATGCAATACGCTCTAAGTATCGCGTAACCGAACCGCACAAACATTTGCGAAATTTTTATGAAAAGAAATGACAGAAAAACTCCACTCTTTTCACTCGTGTGTACTCACAGTGTGACGTTGCCGATAATGAGCGACAAAAGAGTCTCCATGTAAACGCAGTATATGTATGTTCTTATCGCTTAAGTGATATAAATATGTGTATACAGTATTTAATAAATTTTAGATGTGTATATACATTCATATGTATGTATGTATTTGAAAGGGAAACAGATAAAAGCGAAAGCGAAAATGAACAATTGAACCGATAACACAATTAGTGAGTTTGTCGTTTTATAATTTCTTAGCGAAGGCGCTACAGATATGTACATGCACATATTTATATCGGTGTTTATGTATGTATACTGCTTGTTCTTACTCTTTAGAAATTGGTGTTGATCCAGAGCGATTTGTATAGTTGACAACTGCGTTGAATGTCTGATTGACCCATTGCCAGAAGACGACTGCTGGTGTGGTCTTGTAGAACGATAGCATACCTACAAGAAAGTTACAACAACAACATTTAAATGAAATGATGAAAATAAAACATTCAATATCCAACATCTATGGCATATTTAAATGCGCACAATTTTATATGTGAATATATTTATCTTGTATTGTCTAGGCGCGGCAACCCAGCGGTAGCGAACAGTATTTATTATTTAGTATTGGTCCAACAATGAAAAAATTGTATTGCAAAATAGTACGGCAAAACTACTTGGTTGATTGTTATTCAAATATTCACCTTTAGGAAAGGAATGATTATGACTATATTTTCTTTATTTAGGCTCATCAGTGGGTATCTGGGACTTCCATATATCTAAAAATATTTTCCGTATAACGAAATTAGCCATTAGGCAGATTGGAGTGTTGCCTTTGAAAATAATATATGCCAAATTTCGTCAAGATATCTTGTCAAATAAAAGAGTTTTTCATACAAGGGCTTTATTTTGATCGATCAGTTTGCATAGCAGCAATATGGTAAAGTGGTTAGATATCGTCAGTTTCACCAAATGATGAGCTTCTTGGAGAGAAAATGACGTGTGCAAAATTTCAGATCGATATCTCAAAACTGAGAGACGAGTTTGCGTATATACAGACAGACTGACCGACCATCATTGCTAAATCAATTCAGCTCATCGCTCTGATCATTTTTATATGTACATATATATTTTATGGGATCTCCAACGTTTCCTTCTCTGTGTTACAAACTTTGTACTAAACTAAATATACCCTGTTCAAGGTATAAAAATGCTAATCAATGGAGCATCCCAGAAGCTGGAACTACTAAAAATTACTGCAATTTCTTACAAATAATCTATTTTGCATATTAAGATAAACTAATTACTAACTATTTCATGCCTTTGTGCATTGCTCCTATGGAAACTGATTCTAAAACTCGTTTTTTATACTCCTTGTTGTATGTACATACATATAAATATATTTGATATATTGAGGACAACTCGTACGTCGTAATTATAATATTTACGAATATATGTAGGCATGCATACATAATACGCAGTTTGTATTGCATTGCAATTCTTTCAAATTGCTTTCATTGCTTGAAATTGACGCAAAACCTTGATGAATTTGAACCGGGCAAAAGAATCAATACATTTTAAAATAATATAAAAACAACTTATTTATATTCTCACTGCGCTGAATATATTAATCAGAGCAATTTAAATTGAGAAAAATAAAAATAAATTGTCAGCAAGGGAAATATATAACCTTAAATTAAAAATTGTGTACCAAACATTTACTACAACTTTTTGAAATTTTGTGTGCGCTTTTAGGCGTATTCATATTTTACTTATAATTTGCCGCATCCGAGTAATATTGAGAGATTATAGTATTTTTGTTGTCGACAAATGTTGTTGAGCGCATTCAGTTTATTCGATGGCTCAGCAATTCTCATTTATTCCATACTTTTTAAGAAATTTAATGATTTCATGAGTGTTGATTAGAATAAATGAACAAGTGAAACACTCATTACTAATTTTTCACTCATTAATGATTTTATGAATGAATAATACACAATTTTATTTGTACACACAATTTTTATTGTTAACACGTGGCTTTAATATTGATTTTTGCTTAGCTATTAATTCAAAAGAATAAATAAATAGAGGGGAAATATTCAATCGATAGTCAAAAGAACACAGGTACTCGTTAGCAATGGTTGAGGAAAGTCTCTAACTTAATACCAGGGAGGCAAGAAAAAATCACATGTAGAAAAATCGATAAAGAGGATTCTTCAAGTATACATCAGCTATTCTAATGTGGCATAAAACCTATCATCAGTCACCAGTTTTCATATAAAAATAACAACGCACATGAGGTAATCGTGAAGGTGTCTAATAAAGTATTAGTCAAATTTTTAGTCCTCAAATAAATTTACTTATAAATATATATACTAAACAACCAGGGTTGCCAATTGTTTAATTAAAAATTAAACTTTCAATTTTCATCTACAATTCTGAGATTAAAAATTAAATTTGCAATTTTATTTCCGATTTTGGAATTAAATTAGAAAATTTAAAATTTAATTTTAATGAGAATAAAAATTAAAAACGAATTAAAAACTGAGAAATTCTTTTTTTAAATTAAAAGTTGGAGTAAATTCTTTAACAATTTTTATTTTGTTTTTAATCAGAAACTTGAAATTACATATTTTTTTGTTTTTCAATATGGGTTTTATGATTACATTTTTTTTTTCCTTTTCGTTATTTGAGGTTAAAAGTTTATTGTTAGTTTATTAATTCCAGTATATGGGGTTTGAATTTTTAAAATTATTTTTTAATTACGATTTTTGGATTAAAACAAAAAAAAAAAATGTAGTTCAAATGTAAATTCGATTACATATTTTAATGTATTTGCAATCTTGCAAACAACTCATTCCTTGTAATTTAAGAAAACATTTATGATTACGGCTTTTTATAGCATGATTTATGTATGTTGACATTAACCTGTAATTAAATAATTACTTATAGAAATAAACGCTATAAACCGCCGCTATCAGCTCAATGCCAAACTGTTGGAAATTGTTGTTGATAACTCATATAGTTTAAGGCTTTTTGTGTAAGCACTACCCTCAAACTTTATATAATATTTTAATCATAAAAAAAAAATTAATAATAACTGAAAAAATGCTCGTACTTACATCCTGTAATCAGCGTGTTCATTGGCACTTGAGCCGACATGCGACCAATAATCAACGACTTCTCGCCTGTCTCCGGATGAAAAGCCGAATCGTACAGGTACTTGGCGCGCCATAGCTCCTCAACACTGCCGCATTCCTGCACCGGTTTGCCGGCACGATAACTGTGTACGATACGCTTGGCGCGCTCCAACTCCTCGTTGGTGGCTAAGAGATTCAACGGATTGGTGAGCAAGAAGAAATGCTTGGCACGATTAAGGTATGTGCTCTGGTCATATTTGGGCTGATCGATATCGATGGCTGGCAGTGGTGCGACGGCTGCAGTTGATGACATGCTTGTGATGTTGTCGGTGTATGTGCGGCGATGGCAGTGATGCTTTAACGTAACTCTGTAATTTATAATAAATTCATAAATTTTTAGAGTAGCTTTAAATATTTTCATTGATGGTAATTGAGTTAAATAACTAATATATATTATGCGTTTTATTGTAGAAACTCCGTCAAATAATTAAAATAAACAACAATTATTGTTATTGCTATTTTAATAGCATTCACGTTTTACAATATTTGCATGTGCAAGTGTTTGTGTATGTGTAGGCTTCAGTTAAAATTTCAACTGTTAAAAGAGAGTTATAATTTTCTCTCCGCTCTCTCTAACAAATGTTCTTACAGTATGTACTCAGTAATAGTTACCTTCACTATATTTATAGCATAATAAACACCCTCTTTTTCTTATGTGTACATGTTCATTATATTATATTTTTCAAATAAAATAACGGTCTTAAAATTTGTTATAAGAACGATATATAAGGTTTTTTAACTAGACTTTTGACATATTTTTACTTTTTTCAGCATTTTCATTAACATTAAGGAAATAAATAAGTAGGTATTTATTAGGCATTTTTACTGTCAAAATTATAAATTTCCAAAAGGAAACGTCGATGACCCTATAAAATATGTATATAAATGATCAGCGTGATGAGCTGAGACGATTTAGCCGCGACCGTCTGTTTGTATAAACGCAAACTCGTCTCTCAATTTATGTGATATCGGTCTGAAATATAGCTATCATACGAGCTGATCTATCAATATCAAGTCATAATATGGAAAATTATTTTTTATTTGACAATCCTTATTTTTGCGAAATTTGGCAAGAACTATTGTCCAGGACAACGCCATAATATCTGAACATATTGTTCAGATCAGACCACTATTGCATATATCCGCCATGCAAACTGACCGATTTAAAGCAAGATCTTGTACAAAAAACTTTTCATTCGACAGATTCACAAAAATCAATTTCGATGAAATTTGGCTTCAAAATAATATATTTGCTCTATATATTTAATATCGACAAGAGGCCAGGTATTATGACCAAGTTTTACACAATTTTAATCACAGTCAACTTTAAGATTCTATCTCTTTTAGTCAAGAGTTTAGTTTTTGTTACTAACCAGGACATAATAGTTTATTACAGACCGTGAACCGTAGTAAGTTGAATAGTTCGACTTTAATATATTTCCTTCAATTTTCATTGGTGGTGATTATCGAGGGAATACTGTAATTACATACATATTTATTTACAATATGTATATATGGTTTTGCTCCCAAATATAGAAATTCTGCTATAATTCGCACTTAATTTGCTTATAACGGCTTACATAAGATTAAGCATGCCAACGCAAGCGGCCGGGTCTCGAGTGGCTCTTTATCATATGCACTAGACGCTAAACAAAACTATACGAAAATATGTCCATACAAAAATACAATAAATACAAAAATACATACATATGTGCGCTTGTTCATATTAAACAGATCAGCTGGCCATTGACAAAGCTAACAATATTTAGCGCGTTAAAAGAAAAGGCTCGTAGGAAACGACAGACATTTGCAGTTTCTATGCAGTTAGTACATTCTATAGCCCTTTGTATGCATGTATATATGTATGCATGTGTGTGTAATCATATCAGTGAAACCATGAATCAATTTTTTTCGATCGACCTTTTGTGCTGATTTACGCTTGCTTATCGCTGGAGAATATTGCATAATTAAGTTTATACAATTATTTTTAATAAATAATATACGATTTACAAAGAGGAACACACTCAAACGACAAGCGTAAAATATTCTTTGATTTTCATAAACTTCCAATTAAGAAATAACCTGCTAACAATAAAATGAAGGCGTGTCTTGTTTGCTGTTGTTGGTGATACCTTCCTGATTTCCGTCGGAAAATTTGTTTTTCCCGTTTGTTAAAAGTGTTTTTTTGTTTTTGCCCACTCTGCCACTTGCTGGCGCTTAGCTTTTTTGTTTTATGTATCAGTTGTCAGCGTTTACACACTTCGCGCTCAAAATACGATTTTCAACCGCTACGGTCGGCAGTGTATGAAAAACTGACAGCTGAGCGATAACCAGTCTTAACGCAACCGCACCAATTCCATGATTCTATTCGTTTCTTTCACATTTTATTTTTATTGCTATGAAAGAAATCAACAGACGCGCATACATACGTATGTGTGTATGTACAAACACAGGAACACACGTACAAACCTGTGGCGTATGCTGAAAGTAACCCGGCGGCTGCGCTAACTCGCATTCCTATCGTAAGCATCAGCACAACCTTCTACCATATGTTAAAAGCTACCGATAGGTAAGAGTACGCAAATGTCGATGTAGTAAATAGTAAGAAAGCTTCTGGGCGCTCTTTGAGGGAATCATAGAAAGCAACAACAACGAAGGAGAGCGACTTGTGCTTACAGATTTTGTATGTGACTATTTGATTGAGTAATAATTCAGCAGTCAATTGAAATGATACATGTATTTAAGCACGCAGGAATCATCCGTGAACAAGGAATATCTTCTATCTTACAGAAACATATCTAAACTTTAGGGGCATACCTAGTGGGAAATTTAAAAATTAAATTTCTTTTCCATATTTCGATAGTTTGTACCTTTAAAAAGAAAATATTAAAACTTTATATCGATATATTAAATAGTTTTTGTCTATAGCCTTATGTTCTGAAAAGATTACTCGGGGCAAACGAACCTATCACTATCAAATTATTCTGCTTGTTCCGTATATATGTAGTACTCCATGACCTACCAGTTTTTTTGGCAGCCCAAATTTCCTCAAAAACGCCAATATTTTCCTCAAAAACGCCGCCGTTTTGTCAATTTTTGATTTATTTTTTCGATCGGAAAAGGCTGAAATCGCTACAGCAGTGAAGAATCTCTAAAAATATTAAATATTTTTCTTAAAAAATTTTACTGCATATTCTTAAAATATGTATGAATATACGCTTAATTTTAAAACAATGGATACAGTACAGTTCATTGGCTATCACACCAGGTGCGCCCTTAAGAAAAACATTCGATAACTTTACTCCATGCAGAAAATAACTTTGAATAAGACTGCAGTGTTATTTAAGAAGCATGGAATATCTGTAGAAAAGGCGTAACTAGAATTTTTTAGTTGACTACTTAATTTATTTATATGGTATTATACATCGCTCTCTTTGTTGTGACTGATTGTTAACTCAAAAAAATAGGTGTTTCTCTGCTCCTTTCTACCTTCACAGCATGAGTTTTGCTGTGATTCTGATCGATAACGTCGAATTCAGCAGACTACCACTTAATAATGAAGTGCATAAATACAACCCTATGTACATATATTTACGATAGTTACAATATTTTTGTGGATTATCTAATATAAACCTTAGATGCATCCACTTGAAGCTGAAAAATATGAAAAAAATGTGCTGGAAATTTTGGTCCAACCAAGTTAGTAGGTTATGAAATACAAATGAGTTATCTATGGAGTGTTAATTCTGTGTGTCAACTGAACACTTTGCTCCTCTATTGTTCACTCAGTAAAGACAAGCACGAGAGCAAGCAGCTGTCACTGATTAAAACCAACCGACATTTGAAAATTAATTGTAGCATACTTCTAGGCGTAAGTTAACGGGATATCCGGTATTTTCTTTTCCACAACAAGTTCAAAAGCAATATATTTGTTTGTATATATTTTTATTGTATTATTCATTTCATTTAAGCATCAATAACTGATTACTTTATTATCATTTAAATAATCTTCATTTAAAGTGACTTTTATTAGTTTTTATTTTAATTCTTATTTTTCCTTTTTTTGTTTTATTAAACTAACATAACATCAACAATAAACATTGTACAGTATCGGGTTCCTGCCTATATATAATATATGTATGTATATATGTGTACCTATATATTTCTTGTATGTATATCATTTCATTATACACACCACTCAATTTTTATATTATATATTTTTGTTGTTTACATGTATGTATGTAGGTAAAACAAATATATTTTTTTATGTGTGCAATTGCATTTGTTTTTGAATGAGTATTCGAACGCTTACAATAATTGTTTGTGAGTTGTATTTGCATCTGCAAGCTTTTGGATTTTCGTTAACATATCGTGGCCATGGCCACAGATGTTCATTGTCAATTAGTTTATAGCTTCAAAAACTTAACCAATAAAAAATTGTGTTCAATATCATGTATATAGGTAGTATATTTGAAATTTTTTTTATAAATTAATTTCCAAAACCACTTTGAATAACTCCAATTTAAATAATGACGGGAATCTAAATATGTCAGGTAATTTAGAAAATTTAATAGGACGTTTTTCTGTCAGAAATACTTTCCTGAATTTTATCTTTCCGTTATTTCAATAGCTTGACTTTTGGTGAACCTCGGCTTCGAACATATAATTTTCACACGCTTACTTAACACACTCCGCTACTGAGATCATAAGATTGTGGTATAATTTTTATACATAAAAATAAAGTTCACAAATAACACAAAGTCAAAGCAAACAAGCTGGCTAACGATTCGTTTGGAAGAGCTTTTCGCCAAACTATATCTGTATTAGATAAGTTCTTACTCTCACTAACAAAAAAGTGAGCATAACATTATCCTGTATTTTAACCGTCTTAACCTTTCGTATCCGAAGTGACTAATCTCACCATTCTGTACTAGTAGGTGGGGTTTGCTATACCCCAGTTATAAAAGGTAGTAAAAGCCGCAAAATTGTTTTTTATGATTGTTACATGATAATAAATATATTTATATATTCAATAATGGATTGGTTAAAGTAAAACAAATTTTATTTTTACATAAAATTTTTTTTTTATTAGCCTGCGGGTAAAATTTGTAAATTATATGATAAGAGAATTTTCGGAAAAAAATTTTTTTTAACATCTAGAGGCGCCCACTCACTTTTAAAGTAAATTTCGAATTCCAAAATTTTTCAAAATTAGTCTTCGGATATTTAAGCCCATTAAATTCTATAAATGCAAAACATTTTTGTTTATTTATTTATTTAATAAATAAAATGGCTTTTAAAACGAATTTGCAAAAAAACGCCTCTTTTCTGACTTGCAAGTGGATATAACTCCTTAAGTGAGGTGAATAGTTTTATGCCACTCAATGAGATTTTACAATATAAATTAAAACTAGTTCATTCAAGAGAAATGCAAAGTTTATACGTTAGTCAGTAAAGAATACGTTGTGTCTGTCTCCCAGTACGAAGGGGTCTAATTATGCGCCTGAGTGATGTAAGTACAAGTTTAAAATTTGCATCAATTCGAAGTGGTTTTATTTCATTTGAGTTTTTTCAATGTCAATGTCTACATACCAACGCCCATTTACATATATAATTATGTGAAAAGACGGCGTGTGGTCGGGAAGAACAAGAAGAAAACCAACCAATTGAAGCGTAAGCATTCAAAGGTATATAATTATTCGTTGTTAAGAATGTCTCAATAGATTGGGTATTGTGCTTAAAAATATTAAAAGTCAATAAACCGACGAAAGGCATGGTGTCTGCTTCGCAGCGTTATACAAGCTTACCCTTTAGAAGCTATCTACGGAAGTACACACTGATTTTTCCTTTGAAAAAAAATCATCTACTATTACGATTCGCATGGAGTGTTTCAGGCATTTGAGTTTAGATTTGAGACTGATTTTGTTTTGTAAGCTTTTAAAGCGCAGCGTGGAGTTGTGTGGAAATATTCTAGTTGAAGAGTCGCAAAATTCGTAACAACTCTTACCGAACATTTGCTTCTAATTCTTTATGCAAAAAACCTAAGCATTGCACACAAGTATGTTCTGTAAAGCTTAAAGCTTTCGCATACTTTGACCTGATCAATCACTGTAAAAATCTGTCGGAAATATTTAGTGCTAATATTTTGTGTTAAAATACTTGCAGTGAGTGCAAGCTCAAAGCTAAAGCTTTCACCAATTTTTCGTTTCATAAAATTCTGTCCAACAATTTGAGCGATAATATTTTTAAGTTTTTAAGTTAAAAAAAAAGCTTCAAAATGTTATGAATTTTGTACCAATCTTTAATTGGAAGTTCATTGAGAAAATTTCTGAGTTTCAATATTTTCAATAATGCGTCACTATAATGCTGATCACTTTATACGGAGTGACTAAAATTAAATAAAAATATGAAAGAATTTATACAACATTTCATGGTAACTTAAAAATGTGTAGTAAAATAATTTTGACTATGTAAATATGAGAATATGACTTTAGTTACTTAGCTTACAAAGAGATCAATCATTTTTCGGAACATTGTTACTTAAGTTTGTTTTTAAACGCGCTGAGTGTTCAAAATAAAGGTTAAGTAAGTTTATACTCTGCTGTTTTATACAAAAATAATATATTAACGGCTTTCAATAGAGAAATCTTGAATTTGGTCCTGACACAAAACATGTAAATGTTTACCTAAATTCGAAAAAAAAATAGAAATATATATATAACAATTAAAAAATCTCATTTCAACTTCAACAATATTTTTTTAATTTTCTGTAAACATATTTAGTGTTTTTTGGCGCTTATTTTTATAAATAACATAATCTTTTATGAGTATGTTTATATGTATGTTTGTATGAATGTAGTTTTTAATAAGAATAGCATGTTGACATTTCTCAATTGACAATAGAACAAATACTTAACACAATTATGTATTTATTTATATTAGTTTTAATAAAATTTAATTTAAAATTGACTAAATTCCTATGAATGCACCACAACGGTAGTTACCGTTACGCGCATACACCCATTAAAATTGACTATTTTTGAAATTTTTATTTTACTTTTTTTTTTTTTAGTTAGTAGTTTTGAGTTTAGTGTAACAGCTTGCGTTGTTTTGCGTATGTTTGTATGTATGTATGTGTATGTATGTGTATGTGTGTGTATGTGTGTGTATGTGTACGAGTGTGTATTTGTGTTCAAATGTCCAATTTACATTTATCAATCTTAATAGTATATAATATTATTTGGATAACAAAAACAACTATGTATTTATATGTATAGCATGTATGTACATATGTATATGTATATGCACTATATATACGTATGTATATATATTTATATGTATACAAGTATATATAATTTATTTCATATAGTTTCGTTTATTCCATAATTAGTAGATATACAATTGTGTTTGCGGGCATATATTTATTTATTTGTTTGTTTGTTTGTATGCACGTATGTTTCGTATTTGGTAATAAGTATGTAAGTAGTTTAACAAATTTAAATTTTTCACAATTTATTACAATCCATTTTTGTATTATATTTAGTATTTTTTGGGTATGTTTACAAGTACATAGTGAAAAGTTCATACACACATACATATACATATGTAATTAAGCAAATATACATATACATATATGTATGTATTAATTGTGTTGAAGCAGTAACTGGTTTTGAAATTTAACAAACAACACTAAAGCTACAGAAAATTGTTTGTGTACTTATTTTAATATGTAGTATTTAGCCATCAACAATATTGAATTACTCCACTTTCACTGGATTCGCTCGTTCATTATTTCTTCCATTACTGCCTTTTGTTGTGATATTATTTTTACATGTTTTATATTCATATTTTAATACTTATTTGTTTACAACTTTACTTAAAAATAGTACAAAAAATAATTTAAAAAATAAAATTCGTTGCCTATGTAATGTTCCGTCATGTCCCTCCATGTGTTTAATTAATAATTAATTTTTAATATTCATATCCAATAAAATGTAGCTATTTATAATTGTGTGTTAACGTTTACATTAAAATATATACTTATGTATGTATATATGCAAGCATATTAACTATTTTTTATTGGTTGTATGTATTAGTATGTAAATATAAAATCTTGCGTGCCTGTAAATCTATAAACGAAACCATGGGGATGTGGTTGTTTCAAGTGGAAATCTCTATATTATGCTATGCCCTGCTATGCTATGCTATATTTTGCATTCGTTCTAAAATTAGGTATTTAAAAATAACGAGAAAGGTAGTATACATTTCTAAAATTAAATTCAATTGAAAATTCGGTGCATTTACAATAAAATATATATAAAATATTAATTATACAAAAAACTTACTTTCAACCTAACTTTCACATTAGTCAACACAGATTTCATTGTCGTATCATTTAAGACTATACATCAAAAAAACTTTCATGCAAAAGCTTTTAATTTTTGTTTGTGGAAGCTCGAAAAATAAGTAGTTTGTCGAAAGAGACCTCGAATTGCTTAAAGTTTGGCGAGCAATGCCGAAATTATGAGGAAACCAGAAGCATATATTCAATCTGTTGAAAGTATTACATAAATTATATTCAGATATCTGCTAGTGATAAATTTAAGTTATATTCACCTCAACCGCTTTCTTTTTTCTGATATTTTTTTTTTGTGTATGTTAGTTGGAAATAGCCTGGGATAAACTGCATATAGGTATGTATTTGGAGACTTTATATGTATTCAAATTATGTATATCATAGTTTTTACATATGCTTAAGGTTAAGTATCTTAAGCTGGCTAATTGCCCAATATAGGAGAACACTAAAATTGAAATTTTTATTTAAATATTAATGTTTGGATCAAAATTTTAAGTAGTTTTAAATCGATCTGATTAGTTGACAACAAAAATATAGGGAGAAGAGTAGTCATTTTTACAAAAATTCGATCGTTGTGAATTATTGTCAAACACAAAGCTTTTGTAAAGCATTACTCAAAATATGTATGTATCTAAAGTTTAAAAAGTGTGTACGTATATAAATTGGTTAAGCTTAGCTAAAAAATACTGCAAGCGCATAAACATATAACAAATACATATTTGTATGTATATTTAGTAGTTGAGGGAGATTTTGTCAAACTTAAATATTAATTTTTTTTAACATTTTTTTTATTTTATATATAACTATATTACTCGCATTACTTGAACTTGTATTGGTTTTTTTTATATATTTTTTTAACGGTAATGCATTTATAAAAACGTCGAAAGCACATACATACATATGTATCTAAACAATTACTAGTCGCTCAAAAGTTTTCATTGAATTTTCTACAGGGCTTTCATTGTACATATGTATGCGCTTATGTGTACGTTTACGCTTGCTATAGATGTATGTATATCGCTTCTATTGTATAATCTATAATTTTATGGCTTTATTATATTATATTTATGTACTTAAACATTAATATATGCAATCTTAATATTTGTTTACTCGAATATTTCGTCCTATCTACATTACTTAGTGAGTGCAAGTGTCGTTTCATTTATCTATTTGTATTGTTGTTTGCTGGTCTTTATTATTTATATATATTTTATTGTATTATTAAAATAATTTTATTTTCATTTACGGCATCAATGCTGTTTTCAAAGTCACTCATCTTTTAAAACGGTTCTTTATAAGTGTCATGATGAGGTTAAAAAAGTATTATCGAAAAAATATATGTACGTAAGTAACATTTTCGAAAAAAAATAGATATCAAGTTCATTTATAGATATATGCCAACAATATTGTAAACATTTCCTATACTAATCTAACAAAAATATTTCCATTTCAATAAAAAGCGATCAGCTTAGCTCTTTCTTAACTTCAAATAAGTTTTCTTGCTGGCTTTCGCTTGGAACGTATTTACTTGAGCTGCTAGCTTGAGGATTTTTCGAAGAGTATATTCTTTAATTTAAAGAAATATAAAACACAGAAACTTTTTGAAAGAATTAATATTTTTTAATAATTTCTGAATTTTTCCAAAAATGTATTTTCCCGATCTTTGTTTTTTATGGACAATGTATGGTTTTAAAAATCTTAAGCAAAGTCACATTTTGGCTACAAAAATCATTAATTTTTAAAATCATCACAATTCGTTAAAGAGTTCATTTTCGTAACCATGTGCCGTAAATAGGGGAATTTATAAAAATGAAATTTGATGTCTTAAGTTAAGTATTTTTACAGGATGTCCAAAATTTTTTTACTCTCGTAAGCGGGGGGTAAATTTCAAAGTCTGTTCTCCATAGAATGTGCATACTCGTATATTCATTTCCGTAACTTTCACAGGAGATACATTTTCTATACCTTTTTTTTATTGTTGCCATGTAGTATAACAATTCAAATCTTTTGACAAATATTATAAAAGAGGTAAATAAAATTTATTAGAACTTTAATGTAATTTTACAAATTATTTAAAAGTTGCAATTTTTAAATTTCAAAATGAATATACTTTTAGTAGCTATAGCATAATAAAAAAATAAATTTAACAAATACTATACTTTAAATAATATAAATAAGAACCCTTTAAGATATCACTTTAAAAACAGTCATTTGAACCGCACTATTTTTATAGCTTTCATTTTAAACTTTTGCTTTAGGAGTATTACTTGCATTAGGAGTATTACTTGTCAATATTTTTCATACATATGAATATTTATACATATTATATAACTTGTTGCTTCGTGCGATGTAAAAACGTATGTACTAACATTTTACTTTTGCGAATTGGTTTGTATATTAAAATGTTGTTGTAAATATGGTGCCGTGCTAATATGGTATACGCTATCTTTTCGTTACATTTTATTTTTTATCTATTTAAATAATTTTTTATATTTTCATTTGTAATTTTGTTGAGTTTGTCCTATATTTTTGCAATACCTGGAAGGTTTTCAATAATGTGGCATACATACATACACGTTAATGGAGGCGCCAGAAGTTGAGGAAGAGGAGCAGATTGTGTTGGTTTCATATAAGTTACATACTTGTATATCCAAGTAATTATATATTTATAGCTAGTTAACGTTTCGTGTATTAAAAAATCAACGCCATCAAATCAACATAACTACAAGTTCACTCAATCACCCTGTATTTGACTACAAGTATTTCATTGCGCTGAGCGTACAGCTGGTGCCGTTTAATTGATAATGGTGAAAATTTTCTGTTTTGCAGTCGTTAATCCGTATATGTATGTATGTATGTGTGTCAGTATGTAAGCATTTGTCCAGTATGCACCGCTATGTAATAAGATATGGAGATTGTGGATTGGAGCTTAGAGTTTGATGCAGACTCGCTGTACTATGGCACATGTACTGAAGTACATATGAAGTGTTTCTTTTTAAGTTTTTTTTCGCATACGTATGCGGTTGTGGTTGTGGTTGTGTTCTGTGCCAGTTGCTTGTGTGAATGATGCTTTTGTAGAAGACACGAGATCAAAACGTGGAGTAAACTTAACAAATGCATTTGTCCAGCTTCGCTTCACAGCCGCACAGCAACAGAACAAAATTCAAATCGCTTTTGGCTTACATACATACATAGAAAAGAGTAGATATGGATGTAAACTGCACTTTGTTTTGTTGCCTCATAAACCGCGAAACCTACTTGATGTCGACCCATTTATTTATTGAATTTATGTATGTCTGTAGCTTAGTCCTCTGAATGCTTGATTTAAAATTATCTTCTGTTTTCAGCTTCTTCTGTGTTGTTTCTATATTCTCAATCCAGCCGCATTTATTTTTCTAATAATCACCTGAAAAAAGTTGAGAAAACAATTATTAATTATAAGAGTCACCCATTCATGTATGGCCATATGGTCGAATTTGACACGGACTAGTCCATTACAACTGTTAGATTGGTACAATCTTTTTTACCTACATTCGTGTGTGCTTGTCTACGAAGCGACAAGTTTTTTGGGTGATTTATATCATAGAAAAAAAATGAGCAAAAAGTTTGCTTGAAATTTTGTGTTTCCAATGGGAGTCTACTATATCACGAACCCAAGAATTTGAGAGCCACAAAGCAGTAAGGGAAGGTCGTGGTGTAATCGAAAACTTTCGTCATGCGAATTGTCCATCTACCTTTGTTAATAACAAAAATTTCGAAAAATTAATGAAACATTACTTGAAAACCGTGTTGGTATCAAAGAGTTAGCAGTTGTCAATAAGTTTTGGTTAATGGTTTGATAATGAAGCGCCGAATGGCGCTCCAGAAGCTGACCAAAAATCCCAAATTTCGCTGAAAGCACTGACGACCTTCCCAGCCGACTTGACTTTAAGGTTGGCATGCTTGTAGCTTATTTTGAAGGTGATATTAAGGGTTTGTGTTAAAATACGATGAAAATGTGAGTTTGGGTCAAATTTGATCATATGGCATATATAATATATTATATAAGAGTTTGTTAATGTATTTACTGGCACATTCCGGTGGGTTCATGTAACCAAATACGTTCAACTCATACAGCGAGGCCAATGTGATGAAGCACAAATACCAAATCATCAGTATAATGCCGAGTCGTTTGTCCAATTTCCAGCCGTTCAAATGTGTGGACATAATGAGAAAGATGACCGTCGAGAAAAGCGATAAGGTCGAATATGCTAAACCTGTGAAAGAGAGGAAACAAAATTTGCTTTAAAGAGAGTGTAATTAAAATAAATTTACTATAAAATTCGAATACTAATAATACAACTATGAAGAAGTGAAGAAAAAATCGACAATTCTACGATTAGTCATAAACACTACTGTGTAATTGAAAAATGTATGTATAATCAGTGCTGATTGAAACGCATTACAGTATAACTATTTTGATTCGAGGTCCTTGCTTGTATTGATTTATTTACCGCATTACAATAAACTGATCCAGGACTGACTGACCTCTCGGTCCGGAACATATTTCGAATTATGTTGATACCTCAAAGCGGGTATCAGGGACAATTCCTCCCGGGCTGAGTTCTCAGAGGAACCCGGTGCGGTGCAACAATTATTTGCAAATTTTTGTTTGTAACAATTCACTACAATAATCCCCGGACCCCGGTTTTCACTACGGACCTGTGTATTGGTATTATAAGTGATGGTCATATTTTGCAAATGCGAGTGCATTACAATGTTTTCTGGATTACTATGCAGTAAATGTCACTTGGACCACGATAAAAACTAACTTTTAACTACTATTGAAATAAGTATACTGTAATAATTGCTAAGTTAGTCTGATATATGTACATACATATAAAATAGATTTTTTATTTAATAGAATAAATTTATTGAACATAAAAAAAAATTTTATTAAAGTGATTTATGCAGCTAAATAGTTATTTTTTTTCAAATATTCCTTGAAAAATCTCAGTGCACAAAAATCAAATTTATACGATTATTTATTTAACGTTAATTATTTTCATTTCTACATGAAGTATAAAAAATCTAAGTTTATAATAATCTAAATTTTTTCGTAAAAACTTTATTCATCGTCATATGTCCAATTACCCTGCAGGAAATTTAATTTTGTGAGATATGTCTAGATGTTTTATGTGATTTTACTCCCATCGCTATATTATTTTAATTGTTTAATAAAACTTTTCGAGGTTAATAACTGAGGGCTTACTGAATTGCTTAACAATTTTTTGAGACTACACCTTGTTAAAAAGGACTTTGAAATCAATTGCTTTTTTGCCTTCTATCTCTATCTTATAAACTTGCTTCAGAATTTCTGTTTTTAATAAAGCGCCTGGACCTCCTGAAGTCAACTTAAATATTTTTGACATATTCGTAGTACCACCAATTTCTTAAAGAAATGTTTAACATATGTACTAAAACCGGGAAAAGGGATCAGAAATATATTATATGTTTTGCTACAAGTGCGAATAGTATTTCTTGATTTACTACAGTTGCAGATCATTCATAAAGTGTGTGCTGCTTTGATCATCCTATTTTTTATAAGTTGGGGCAGCAAATTACGCAAAATCGGCATATAATATCATTTAAAATTTTTATGTTTTGAAACAATTTTATGGACAGTATTATTATTACAACTCAGTTGTCTTGAAGTTTGTTGCAAAAATATCATGAAGTACTTTTTTGATTTCCTGAAAGGGTATACGTATGTACATATATGTATAGTAAGTACTCTTAATATGAATTATGATGATCAGAATTTTATACGCATTTCAGAAAGCCTCTTAATGAAGTCAATTAACGAATTATCCACAATAATTTATATAGAAATAAATGCTAATTGATTCAGTTAAGTTGCTTTCAGCGTTGTCTGGGAATAATAATTTATAGAAAAAATGCTATAATGGTATCAAACAATTCTTAAATTTTAATGTAAAGTTTGTTAAATTTAAATACAACTTACTATTATTAACAAGAAAGAACGTTAATGAACTTTAAAGTAAGAGTGTGTTCAAAATTTATTTAATTTTTTTTTGTATTATGAAGAAAACAGTTAATTGTCAAACAGTTAGAGCTTAAATTCATAAACTACTTAAGTGTGTGCATTTGAAATCGTGTGTATATATAAATATGCATTAATTCAAATGTTCCATACATACATATGCACAATTCTGACCTTAATCATCACTCCAGCATCGGAATTGGTTTTTTCTTAAGTACTTATGTAGTAGTTTCATATACGTATTTAAGTACATTTCTATGTAAATACATATGTACATAAATACATACATATATTTCATTTGGACACTCATAGAATGCTGTAATTATATTCTCAATATATACTTACCTTTCGAGATGACATTGACGTGCGAGCCAGGCTTTATAATGGCCGTTTGTATAAACCACGGAAGACCTAAGCACACTAGGATATCAAAGACATTCGAGCCGATCGCATTCGATACGGCCATATCGCCGAAGCCTTCTTTGATTACCGCTATTGAGCTTAGGGCATCGGGTACAGATACACCAGCAGCCACAAATGTCAATCCCATAACCGTGTCTGGTATGGCCAATGTTGAACCAATCACGGTTATCATCCAAACCATAAAATATGAATAGAACGAGATCCATATCATCGATACAATAAATGTGAATGGATACCAATTGCGGTATTTTTCGGTGCGACAATCTGGCATAGTTTTCTTGCATAAATAATGTATGGGATAGACGACATACCAGGCGATCAGTGTTGGAAGTCCGCCTTCCGTGGGACGTTCTAATGGATTGGGGCGTGCCTCTTTCGATTTATCAGCTGATTTATAATATTCAACACCAGCTGGTTGTGGTTTACCCACAGTCGGTTTGCTGCCGTCACCATTTGTATTTGTTTCTGTGACGACGGCATCCGGTTGATCAGGATTATAAGCCATATTATCTTGTCCCGATCCGGGTCCAGAGGCGTAGAACGTATTCGTACCCCAGTCATCTTCGCCAGGCGGTTGGCCGTATCTAACACTGACTCCCACTGGATTTGTGGACGATTCATCGCCCCAAGCGGCGTTTGGATCCCAACTAGTATTTGATTCTCCATAGCTTTGGTATTCGTTTGTTGCCTGTTGCTGTTGTTGTGAACCAGATGCACCGTCTTGTGTAAGACTTGTTTGCTGTTGTTGCTGCTGAGTGCCTTGTGTATATGAGTTGTCCGGCATATTCTTATATGTTACCAGTGAAGATTGTTCTTCCTTTGTGGGCAACTTGAATGGTAGATTTAGGGACAAAGCCCAACGCTCCAGCTCCGTATTGAAATGTAGCGCCACACAATATCCCACATAGCATAGCAACATGAATACGGATTCATACTATATATAAAAAAGCGAAATATATGCAATTAGTTAAGAGATAATTTCCAGTAAAGCGCAAAGGCGAGGAAAATATTTTGAAAAAGCTGTTGGAAAATATTCCACTTCTATATGTAGACATCAGTGCAAGAGTAACAATAATGTTTAACTATTTAAATGTCCCTAAATTGTTCTACTTACGCAAGATATAACGTCATTAAAGATGATAATCAACATCACCAATATGGAGAGACTATAAAAGAAGCAATCACGCACCAATGGCCACCAATTCAGTTGACACACAGTTCCAGAGCATAGTGCACAGACCGATATTACAAACATTATATTGAACACCGCCGAGCCAATAACGCCGCTAATGCCGATATCGTCCTTGGCGAAAAATACACCAATCACCACCGTGGCTAATTCGGGCGCGGAACTACCCGCTGCCATGAAAGTAGCGCCCGCCACATCGGGTGACAGCTTCAATTCTTCACACAGACGATCCAAACTGGCAACAAAGTATTCATCACAAACGATAGCCAAACCAAAGAACGTAAAAATGGCAACGAGTACGTGAATGACGAGTCCACCATGCTGACGTGCCCATTTACCCATCAATGGCTGGGGAAATTGTTCTATGGCGGGCGGGGTACAATTTCGTTTTGGTCGCCAAGTGGGAACGGCGTGTTTGGCAGCGGTGTGTGTGGCTTCCGTTGTCATAATCGTAGTCTAAAATTAAATTAAATATGAGCATGGAGGTATATGAAATTTTGGTATTAAAAAAATTTTGCCTCCGTTGTAGTTATAGAGCTGAGTGTACTATCCATCACATCGGCATCCGCAAGATCACTATCTGAGGGTCCGTTACTGCCTGCTTCATCCAATCCACTATCGCCTTCTTCTTGTAAATTCTCGGCATTGAACATACTCTCCGTCTTTCCCTCACTCTTGGCCGAGTACACACTAACACAGTAGTAAATAAGGAACAATAGTCCCATATTCCACATGCGTGCTCGACGGCTTCTTCTTCGTACAATCTGTGAATTAAAATCGGCAACGTTTAGAATTTTAATTTAGAAAGTGTAATATTGTAAATGGGTGAAATTGAGCAATTTATATCTTCTACTTTTTCGATTTTGGTGAATGATTTCTATATAAAAAATCAATTATTATCTAACTCGAAGTTACAAATGAGAGCTGAAGAGTTAGGCAGACTCTGTTATCCAAACCCACTTCTTTTATTAATTTGCTGTTTTAAAACTAAACGTCTGCCCATGAAATCATCTCAAGAGATCAAATCTAAATTTGAAATCAATGCCAAACCTCCGAGAATTTTTTTGATGTCAAGAAGTTACTAAAACGTCCATCAGTCATTTGAGAAAGCTTAATAATAGTCGTATAATTTCTTTAACGTTTTCTCATTTTCTAGAAGTGTGGGAAATGTGGGTGCTTTAATGAAGAAGAAATGGGGAGATTGAGAAATTTATGACATTTTATTTAACATATTTATGTTTCCAAAAATATATTTAGTTTTAATGCTCGGCACAAGCATTATTTATTATGAAGTGGTTCACAAAATTTTTAGATAATTTCGACAAATGACTTAAGTTTTAGTATCTTTGAGTACCCCTCATAGCTTCATAGTTTTCTCATACATATAATAAAATTACTCAGAGTACTAAGTACGAACCAACAACGCAAACGGCATAACATATTGGCGCGGAAGCCTAGTCAAATTGTTTACTGCTTCGTAATCCGATACATTCAGTCATTTACCACATAGAGTTAACTTTTACTTTATCTAATTTTTTTTTCTTCGAATATAACTGCATTTGTTTTAATGCAATTCGGGGTCAGTCTTTTTTTCTAGACATGGGAAAATAAGTTCATAAACATATTATATTTATTTATAAGTATTATTTACAGAAAAAATGTGTTTTTATAAGTACATATGTATTTGTAGTCTAGGGAATCTAAGTGAATTTGCAGAGTCATATTTTCATAGCTGTTTTGTCTTTGAAAGTTTAGTAATTATACAAATGTAGATAATTGCTGAAAGATAAAGGGAAAAAATATAAAAAATAAAAATAATAAAAATTTCTCTATTTAATTATAAAAATAAATATTTTGTGCTTGCATCGATTAGTGCGGGAAGATAAATGAGAACTGACACCACGAGGCTTTTTACTGATATTTATTAGCCGTAACAATGAAAAAAAGTGAAGTTAACACAAATAGCTATTTTATAGAACCAAGAGTCACCATCTTTCACTGGCTGTTTTAACCGATTTGGACATTTGAGTCGCTTAATATGGGCATACGAAGAAGGGATTAAGCTCATACAAGAACTCTTTCATAACAGACAGTCAATCGTTGTTTCGAGTGAATATTGTAATGTGTGTGATATTTATAGATTCGGAAAAATGGGAAATTCTTTTTATTGTTTCCTTCCTGATCATTTTGGTGGATTAAGCAAATCATGTAGTAAAGAAAATCATCAGCACGTGGAAACTAATTAGTAAGGAAACCATTCGACGCTTCGTGAGTAAATTTGTATGATACATTTTGATATTTCAAACGTATACGAAAGTGTATCTATCCAGTTGGTCTTATATCAAGATTTTTCAAATATATAAAATAATCATGGAAACAGACTATACCTACATAACTTAACAGTTTGAAATCACTCAAAATGTCTCACCATAAAGTTTATATAGGTATAAATATAACTATATAAAAACTATAATATAACTATAATAAAACTAGTACTTAAATTTTTGAGATATTGATCCGAAAGTTTGTACACGTTTCTTCTCCCTAAGAAACGGCTCATTTGTCGGAACCGCCGGTATAGCTGCCATACAAACAGATCTATCAAACCCAAGTCTTTGTATCGAAAACTTTTTTATGTCAAAATCAACGTTATGGCCTCCAAGCAAATTGTCCAGATCGAATCACTATAGCATATAGCTGTCATTTAAAGTTATCGATCAAAACCAGAGAGAGATCTTAATAAAATATATTTTTTTCTTACTAAGTCAATTTAATTCGACTTAAAGGTTGTTTATATTGTACATACATGTTTGTTACCAAACAAAGTGGCTAGAAAGAACTAGCAAAACGTTTTACGCTGCATGCAAACAGTTGGCCGGTTATGTTTTAAGATTTAGTTAAGTAAATGATTGCTATAAGAAATCCACTTGTGAAGGGTATTATATAGGGTGATCCATTTCAAATTTCACTACTTTTTTAAAGAAAAAAACACAGAAAATTCAATTTCAATGGGGAATGTATGTTATCATTCGAAAGAACATTCTTTGGCATTTAGTTTTTGAAGATGATCTCTTTCAAAGGTTGGCCACGGCTACGTCTTACAGGGTCCATCTGTTGAGTCCGATTTTCGATGACTCGTTCGAACATTTCGACTGGTAACTAGCGAGTGTTATACTCCAAGACCTGAATCGAAGCGGAATTGTCCGCATAGTCTTTAGACATTACATATCTCCACAGGAAAAAGTCTAACGCTGTGATATCACACGATCTTGATGGCCTTGGTGGTCACCATTGACGATTACGTTCTCACCGGCATGATTTTTATGGGTGATGGTGTTGCGCATAGTACGCTCAGTAGACCAATTATGTTGACCATAAGTAGAGCGAAGCGCGGGAAACACATTATTTACAGAACGTGAGTTTTCGTAACAAAGTTAGGCGATTTGTAAACGTTGTTCAGGCATAGGTCTTTCCATGATGAAATGTCAAATAATACTGAACAAAAATAACATGACAGCTTGACACGACTCACACGTTATCTGCCAAAAAAGGCTATTGGAAAAGTACCTCTACTTGGATCACCCGTTAGCTACGATGCAGCCGAAACTCTTTTTTTTTATATATTTGCTATACCTATGTGTATAATAGCATTGAATTAAGAAAATTAATTCTTCAATGAAGATATCGATTGAAAACATAGCATAGTTAAAGTTTTTCGTATGTAAAATGACCAATTTTGCTACACTCAGTTAAAATAATAAATTTACGTACAAGGACGCCTTAGCATTTTGCTTATCACGTGATGCTTAACATTGCTTTTAAGTTCTTACAGTGTTTAAATAGTCATAACAGAGAATGATAAAAACAAGAAAAAGTTGGGAACAGCGGCAAATATGAAACTATAGAGGAGATAGTAACCACACGTGCATATACATACATATATATATATATACATATGTAGTGTATAACTACATGGGGGCGTCTCGCCCATTGGGAACGACGACACATCGTCTGTGTAAATCGTCATCTACGTACAGCAACGGTAGTGGTGGTGTGGTCGGTGACTGTGGAAATGATGGCGGTGACGACAGCGTTGTCGTTCGTGTTTCCTTCAGCATTACTGTATGTTGCCTTGTTGTCACCGATGTAGGTTCAACATTGGCATTTACACACTTTATCGATTTACAGTTTTCCTTAGCCGACTCGTTGGAACGAAACGCTAACAGCACAGGCCAAAACATAAAATACTAAATAATGAATAACAAGAAACGATACAAAAAGTATATACATAAGTACATACTTATGTATTTATAGTATATCTGTATGAATGTGTGAGCTTTTTCTTATATTTTGACAGCGTCAGGTTAGGGTGATGGCCTCTGCCGGTTACTTTGACTACTTTTGTTGCATGCATTGGCAAGAAAACGTGCGACAAACAGCCCTCCACAGTAATAAGCACCAAGTAGTGAGAACTTAAGATGGAAAGAGCGATTATAAGCTTTTATAAACTTTTTCACTTGGAATTTGTGCCATTCGACGGATGACTTAATAAATGTAATAACTTCAGCGACGCCAACTTAAATCAACAAATAAAAAAATTAATTTTCAGTTGTATTCACTTATGGACGAGTACATATACATATATATGTGTGTGTGTTTACATATATATATGTGTGTGTGTTAACGTACGCAATGCGCAAGGATGCAAGCAAAGATGACGTAGATGCTCGTAGTTGCGCACACATATTCACATATAAAACATATTTTCCCATACACACATAAATATTAATATGTGTATGTTCATATATTGCGTAATATAAAATATATGTATAAATGTAAGTATATAGTACAATAGATAGGAATTTGTTAGTACTGTGGCGACTGCTTACATCATACAAATTCGGAAATTTACCGATTCAACTCAACAACTACAATAAATCGACGGGCAAAACGATGTCATCCAGTTTATGTGTCACTGCACGGAGTCTATTGGCGCCAGACACTTTCATACGTCCCTATGACCCAAGTTTCCCAAAACCACAATCATCACTTCGCAGTAAACGAATGTCCCTATGCAGTGCTATAATCGCTTGCATATACCTACATACCAATACATATACATATTGTCAACAGTATCTCATGAAAGAGTTCACATAAAACTTTTCTATTAAGTGGAAATAAGTTTTTTTTTATTCTTTCTGTCAATATTTAATTTGTCCATTATTTTGTTATGATTTATTGTAATATATTACAGAATACACTGCAAAAAATAAGTTAATGTTTGGTGAATAGAATGTCCTATCAGTTTTTTTTGGTTTTTGTCGCCAATTAGATTTCTTTTTAGCTTTTATCCTTCTTCGTGGCCCGGAACCACTGCAGCAGTGGAGGACCCTTTTGTTAGCGCCATCAGAGATCACGTGTAACTTGAAAAATATTTTATTTTTTCTTCAAAAATGTTACTGTGTATTCTTAAAATATGTATATACTTATGTAGGTCATTTGACCAACTATGTCCGGTGTTGAAACGAATAACATCAACATCAAATAACGACTAGCAAACAACTCTCGTTTCTCTGGCAAAAAAAAATAATGACGTTTCTATAAAGTTTAGTTAGTGTAAGGGTTCTAGCTGGTTATTGTCCTATCGGTGTCCACGCGGTAAGGTTGAGAATCTTAGTAGATGCCAATTGTAGAAACTATATAAAAGTAGGAACATCTCAACACTGCCTTTTTGACTTTCTCGCTTTTGTGAGATCAAGACTTAAACACTTGATAGCGCACACTTTCAGACCTCCCACTGGGCTGGTGGGAGTAGAAATAACACGCTTAAGTAGATTTGTACTGGCCTCAAGGCGCTTTTTCGACTTATAAGATCTGATTTTAGGATTTATATTTTATGGCTTCACAGAGAAGTGTGTATAGTAGTTCCGTGCGGTCGCCACCTTGAAGGTCAGTGATTAAACCTAACCTAATCTATCTAACCTAATTCAGTAAAAATTAATCCTGCAGGAAGTTGGAAGTGCTGGAAGAGCTTTTCGCCCTCAATCATAAACCTGCTTGTTATACTCTTACAACATGTTGCTACAGAGTATAATAGTTTTGTTCACCTAACGGTTGCTTATATCACCTAAAAATAATCGAGTTAGATATAGGGTTATGTATATATAAATGATCAGTATGATGAGGCGAGTTAAAATCCGAGTGACTGGCTGTATGTCCGTCCATCCGTCCATGCAAGCGATAATTAGAGTAAAAATTAAGATATCTTAATGAAACTAGGTATACAAGTTCCTTGACAAAAAAGTGAGGACGAATTCGTAGAGGGGCATAATCGGACCACTGCCATGCTCACAAAACGCATTTTACGTCGAGATCTTAAATTGAAAGTGCACAAAATACGCTTTATGGGCTCTTGAAAAGTTCCCAGAAGATCCAAAGTTTTCGAGTCATTTTTTGTTCAGCGATGAAGCCCAATTCTGGCTCAATGGGTATGTAAACAAGCAAAATTGCCGCATTTAGGACAAAGAGCAACCTGAAGAGATTCAAGAGCTGCCATTTCATCCATAAAAAACAACGGTTTGGTGTGATTTGTGGGCTGGTGGAATCATCGGTTCATATTTCTTCTAAAATCATACCGATTAAAACGCCATGACAAACGACTATTTGATGCTTGAACTTGAAGCTCGTGATCTCGGCGGCATTTGGTTTCAACAAGACGTCGCCACTTCCCACATATCGCATCAATCATTATTGAGAGAACACTTCGGTAAGCAGATAATTTCACGATTTAAGCCAATCGATTGGCCGCCAAGATCGTGTGATATCACACCGTTAGACTTTTTCCTGTGGGGATATGTAAAGTCTAAAGTCTATGCCGACAATCCCGCTTCGATTCAGGTCTTGAAGTATAACATCACGCGTGTCATTCGCTAGATACCAGTCAAAACGATAGTCAAAAAATCAGCAGGTAGAACAGAAATGTAAGTAAAGCGAAGCAATGAATAAAAGTAGAATTTAGAAAACATTTTCCATTTTTCAATTATCTTTCCTTTCAATTTGCTGAAAAATTTAGAAACCACTGTAAACACACGCATACACACATCTGCAGTTACAAAAGTTTATCACTTCTGATTTAAAAAATTGCGTAAATATATATTTTCTAAATACAGACACACATATTTGAAAGTATGTGCGAATCTATTACAAAAGTATGTTTTTCGGCATTTTTTTCGGTGTTTTTGCTGCTCATTTAACGCCGTGCTGTCAATCAAAGCAATCAGCTAAACAAAAGCACGGGGCAATTCTTTTGATTTGATCTCAATTTTTATTCAACTTGGCTTAGAGACGCACACACATACATATGTATACACTCGTACAATGATGCAACTGCCTTTTGTGCAAAATATTCGAAGCGAATTTCTGCCGTGGCTGCGCGTTATTAGAATGCATGCATACCTACATACATAAGTAGTGTATATGTATGTGTTTATGCAGTTATGCTATTTATAGTATGTTAAGCTCAATGGTACCTATGAAGAAAGTTTAGCATACTTTGCGGGGTAGGCCAGCAGGTAGGAAATGAAAATGAACAAATATAAAGAACACCGACATTTGAGTGTGTGTGTTTTCGCTGTGCGCCTCTTAACGGCATTTACTCACACACACACTTGTTTACGCCTCTGTGTGTCTGTTTGTATGGAATTGTGTACGTGTACGCGCAGCAGTGTGGTGAAAAGCAAAGGTAAGGTGGTACATTTCAAAGACTGTATACTAGTATAGAATAAAGGCATATTAGGCGCCGTAGCGCGATACAAAGCTACATGCATACGAGTGGGTGTGTGTGTGTGCCATTTTCATTGTAGTAAATTCTACTTTGCCTATTACATATTATTTCTTTCGTTTTGCGACTCGTACTAACCATTTTGTATTATATTTTTGTGTGTCTGTTTGTGTTGTTGTAGTCGTTCCGATTATTTGAGCTTTGTCTCCAAAGCGCTATTGTTATTTTGATTGTTTCCTCAAAGGATATTCGCACAGCTTACACCTGCTTAACTTCGTGGCTGCAATATTAAACGCGTTTATCTTATTTTCACTGTCACTTGCATTTGCACTTTTCAGTCTTTTTGGATTTGAAATCACACATATATTTGTGTTTGTGTATGTGTGTGACGATTTACACAGTTGTATGTATAATGACTAACGAGGTGTTGGCATTAAAATTGCACATTTCATTAGTAAAAATATTTCCTAATAAAAAAGTGAAACACTATTGTTTTCTCGACTTTCTTTTCGTTGTATTTTTCGTCCGATTTTCCCTCGGTCAGAATGTGTGTCTCACTCGATTCGATTATTCAGACTCCGCTTGTACCGCGATTAGCACCATTTGCTTTGTCACTGAAGAGGTTTTTGTCGCAGCCCTTTCTTCCTGTATACACTTTTTTCATTTGGCTCGCCTGTTTTTTTTTTTTTATTTTAACTTTTTCATTATTTTTCTGAGTTTTGGTTTTTTTCGGTATGACACACAACTGCAATCGTGTGATGGCAGCGTAAAAGTGGGTGTTCGGTTGGGTGGTTGGGCGCTGTGGTGGTGGCGTTACAGTTTTCAGATACACAGAATATTATGTTGTTGCGTATTTGCAGAAAAAGCAGAAGGAATAAAACAATTTCAAGTTGCTCATTGAAAATTTTTCTTATACGCAAGAGCCTCACTACTTTTCAGTCGGAAAACAACACTTCATTTCACACTCGAATGCATAGCATTATTGACTTGCTTATTTGTAATTGCGCTATATTATATTATATTAAATTTTATTTACACTTAATTTATTCAGTTTAATTTTTTTCTTCAATAATAACACATTGTGGCCAAGAGTGCGACCGTCCTTCCATAAAGGGAAGACCGTAGAATTGTACTGACTTTTCACCACCGCATCGATTGTCACGACGGCACCACTGCTGTGCTACTGCTAAGCGACTGTTCGTGCATTGCCTGCGGTGGTACAAGTTGGCGCTGTTGGAGCCAAAGCTGTCGTTACTGCTGCCGCTGCTTTCACCTTGTTGTTGGTTGTCGTTTCCTATGCACCTCTTGTGCTTCACTCTTTACGTTTGTCGCAGAAGCTTGACGACTTTAGTACGACAAGCAGTCTTCGGCTCACCATGGTATCTATGAATTTTGCGCTATTCACCACACAATCGCTGCGCTCCACAAGACAGAGTTGAAGCACAAAAATAGCATAGATTTTTAATCATTAATCTGCGTATATGAATTCACATATTAACGTACACATGTACAATTAAATATAAATTATATGATGGCTTACATACCAACGTTGTGGCATTCGTATTTATTTACCGTTACGCACCAAAAGTTCGCAGAGCGCAAGTCCAAGTTCATTGAGCGCAACCACTAGTGAGAGTAAGAGAGAGTGATATTTTTTGAGTATAAATAATTGCTTATATTATATATTGTTTGATAATGGCAACACCGTTACCCAGAATAAGTTTTGCAGATAAAAAATTTTTAATGAAATATCAAATATTTAAAAAAAAAAATTTTTTTGAGCAATAACAAATGAGGCTTTGATAAATACTACTAGTTTAATTGATAAAAATACAATAAAAACACAGTTTTTTAATTGTTAATCCTCTTTTCCTGGTAATATACGATTTTGTGCTCTCCGATAATATATGTATATACATACATATATAATGTATGGTAAAAAAACTGGTCATTCGAGTGATCACGAAAAATTTTCTGGGAAAAATATATTAAGATAATTATGAGGCTTTGCCGTCGGCAAATATCACATATCATGAAATAATTAGCGACTTAAGAATTAGTGACTACACTGCCCTGCTTACGTCCGAATAGATGCAGAATTTTCAACTCAATGATACTAACTGGTGGTATCAGAAGTAGGTGTTTGGGAAATAGCAAATGATGAAGAACTGAATCCCACTCGGTCTTTCAAATTAGTGTCAATCAGCCAAGAGAGTAAAGTACTGATACCACACTGCGCACATGACCAAAATTATATAGGCAGTTGCTGACCGACCAAGGAGGATAAAATATGCCTTTAAGTGAGTATGTGTGTACATATCCTAAAATCTACCAACTATTGCATTAGGTTGCCTTCAAACGCCATTTAAACGCCTTAAAAGCGACAACCAGCCGCATGGATGCCTAACTGTTTACAATGAAAATCATGGTGACAAAACCACAATGCAAAATTGACATCATAAATTAAAATTACTTCCACCCTTCTTCACCTTTGCAATTGCGGAAAACTAGATAACCAAATATCGTTGGCCTTAACAAATATATGTGCATGTATGTGTGCGTTACTACCGGATCCGGCAACGCAGGGATGAATATTTAGCGCTGCCCAGGAGTACCTTGGATTTCTGCGATGATTTGTAACAATTCCGATCGCAACAACGAGAATGAGTATTTAGCAAAATGCGATTGCACTGAATATCAACCACAAAAATAAAATAGCGAAACTCGTACACAATAAGGCGACGCATGCAATAATAAAATGGAATACCAGTGGAAAAAAGGGGCGAGTACGTAACCATCAACACGATTATTCCGCATAAAATAAATTGATTCCTGCTAAAAGTCAAAAGATACTCTCGGTGAGGGGTACTGCCCTCAAACACACACCAATGCATACACATACATATACACACTTATAATAATATATTTAAAAGAACTCTCGATCACTATAAATTTGTCCACAATAAGTTCCTTTATTGAGATCTCAAAAGGATTGGCGTTGCCTCAGTCTTCTGCACAAACACCCTCTTGCCATTCAAATATTCCTGCGCCGTTTGTTTCTTTGCTGCTTTCTTAAACTAAGTACACTCTTGAGTGGCATTCTTCAATTTTTTTGTATACTTACATCCACTTGCATACATACATACATATTGACAGACAATAAGCAGCGCTCGTACAAAGAAGTCTACTTCAAACTGCATTGAGCATCTGTGCGCTGACATTTCGATGATACAATATGATCGGCAATGATCGCACTTACCTAAAGATATCGACGCACATGCATATGTATATACATAAATACATATATATATATACACAATACATACTCTCCATATGAAATATATTGAATATCTGTGTTTCGAATAACGCTTTGGCACCTCTATGACTTTTTCTATGCGCATCTCGACACATTAATAAATTATTGTGGAAGCGTCCTGGCAGGCTATTGTCTCTATAGCTAGTGTCCCTAAGTAAAATGTGTGTCAAAAATTAGGCATGCGGTTACATAAGCACATATTTATATATACATATATATATATATATATATATATCTGTTGGGATGTGTACTTCTCTCCGTTCCATGCCAGACATATTGGCGTTGTCAACAAGATTTCCACGGTCACTTTGATATCGATTTCACACAATTTATTTAGCTCTTACTAAATGTCTTTGTATATATGCATGTGCAAAACTGAGGTGTGTATGAGTCAGCGTAGAAAATTTGTATTTCATTTGAAAGAAACTATTTAAGATTATTATAAAAAAAAGAGTTCTGTTACAGATTCTGACATCGCACTCTCTTTTATCGTAAATACGTTCTTCAGAGTTCAAATTTTATATTACCCATGAATTCAAGTACCTAATTTTCTTAAATGCTCTGCATACTGGTTTCTATTCCCCCGAATATCTCGCTTTCTCATAGCGACCCAAAAGTCAATAATGTTTTTTATAGGCACACCTTGTATGATACCTTACAAAAAAGCGGGTTTGGGAATGAAAAAAAAAATACTGTACAGTTATTTTAAAATTTCAAGAGTATATTAGCATATTTTAAAAATACACATTAAATTTCCGGTTACGTAGACCCGACTGTCGTGAGATCGGAGCTACACGCGATCTCCGATTGCGCTCAAAACGCTCCTACACTGCTGCAGTAATTCCGCTCTTCTCCGTGGATGAAACCTGAAAAAAACTTCTTACAAGAGGATATTATCTGTACAATGACCTCGAAAAAAGAATTTAAAAAGTGACTGGCGGTGTTTTTAAAAAAGGTGAATTTTATCCCGATTTTTGGTCGTTTTGGTCTGCCAAAATTCGAATTCAGATCAGAACAAAAAACTGGTAGGTCATTATATGAAGAACTATATACGGAACATGAAAACAAAATTTCATAATTATAGTATCATTTATCTCCGAGTAATCACTGCAGCAAATTCAAAAAATCCTGTTTCTAGAAAACGCGTTTAAAAATAAACCGCTTAAGCTGCTAAATGAATCTAAGCAACACAAAACTCAGCGGAGTCGAAAATATTTTTAGGAGCCTTTTGGTAGCGATAATATTGATAGCGTTGATTTCAAACCTTATTTTACTTAATATTTATTTTTAAACTTTTTGGAAGATCATATTAAGAACAACCCTCTGAGACTAAAAAAAAATTGATAAGAATTCTTTACTCTGTTGTCAGAACGCTTTTGATTATGTCGATCCAGTTGATATTCAATTCGAGGATTAGAATATAGCTAAAAAAATTTAACTACATTCGATTACTTTTTATATTTTGATATCACTTGATAAATTTTGAATTTCAAACGAAAAATTAAAACAAGTGAAAATCTTAATTAGAAAATTATCAAAGGCATTTATATTCTATAATTTTCAAAGGCGTACATACATACATACATCTATAAATATATTTCGCAGAATTCTTTTAACAAATCAAATTTGTACATTTGTAAATCTTTTTAAGAATTTTATTAATTAGCAGATAACTTCTCTTATTGAGAAGGTGTCAATAGGTATCAAGTATTCATTGCAGGCGTTCAATTGTCCTGCTAGTGTCAATTGTCGCACCAAAGTCGGCCACTTCTGACGGTTCGGCTGAGTGTAGCAATTGTGTGACAGAGTTGTCAAAAAAGAAAACATCAAACGTGCGCCGTCATTTCGTTGTATTGTTTGCAATGAACACTTTTTCATTTATGTATGTTTGTTTGTTTAAGAAACAGGAAGACAATAAGCGATTTTCTGCAATATTTTTCAAATGTCCTTACATGCTACACACTGTGCTAACACCACAATTGATATATTTTACTAGAAATGATGACAACCGCAAATAATTGACTATCAAACACATTTTGGTGGTTTGATTTCAGAATTAAATATTTTAGACTCAGTTGCGAGTTTTATGGGTATATTCGTGTACTTAATAGCAGAGTAAAAAAATGTAATATTGACGGTAAGTCTTTATTTAGATATTCTAAGATACTGAACTGCAAGCAAGAGTTCAGGGTTTCTACATACATATATTATCATATATCACAAAAATAAGCTTCATATTTTTATTAGTTCGAAATAGGAGAAAACGTAAGAGATGTGCTCACAGGAAGATGTGGTTTTTCGCGACTGTGTACATTCGATTATCGATATTTTTTTTTTGTTATAATCGGACGCATATGTTTGTCATGTGCTTGCATTAGGAGCCAATTTCAATTAGTAGCTTGTTTTTGACAACAGAAAAGCTTAGTCAAGCTTTTATGTGCTCTGCGATTTTTGACTTTTGAAAGAAATGGATCAAAGAATATACCTATATTAAATTTTGCATTTAAAATGGAATAAAGTGCCTTGGAGCACTTGAAATGTTGACTGTGGCATTCGATGAGCCCATTTTGCCAATCATGCTAGAATGTGACAGCGTATTCATGTCGCTTGGCATGACCGTTAACCAAAATGTTTTGAATCGATCTCCAAGAGATGCTAAGATTATCTGCTATCTCTCTGATGTCAACACGAGGATCTTCAAGGACTGTTTCTTTAACTTTCTCGATGTTATCGTCATTAACAGAGGTGGACAGACTTCACGACCTTCACTTAAAGTTTCGTGCCACTCGAATACTAGTATCCGTGATTTAGAAGAATAATAAATAACAATAAACTAATTTCTGTTAGTCTGCTTGACTTCAAAGTAGATATATTGGTTATTAAGAAAGGCTGTGAAAATGAGCACGTCAAGATACCAAAGCCGAAAATAATTGGTTGACCATGTCAACACAAGTTGAAACATCTAAGATTGTCAATTTAAAAAGTTCAGTATTTAATAAAAAACCTAATATTTATTTTTAAAAAATGTTTATTATGTTTTTATAAATTTATTTATTTATGGTAATGGTAAACTTAAGAAATTAATAAACATTAGTTAGCTAGTTGGACTCTTGATTCATACTAGTTTCAAAGTAGATAATACGTAACCAGTAGATTTGATTGCCGGGCATATAGATATGACAAAAATAATTATGTAACCACATTGACCTGCGTTCATATCAAAAACTTTGTACCACATACTTTTTTACCACAACCCCACAAAAACGCAAAATTAATTGATAAAATTGCGCATTTTGGTCGCAAATCCGTA